GCTACGAAATCCACAGAAGCCCCGACGCCAATGGCGTTATCCACTGAAGCTCAGATGGCGGTCAAACGGGACAAGTGCATACAGCTTTTGCGTCGCAAGCTGCCTGCATGAGCGTACGGGCGGCAGAGCAGCGTCAGCCAAATGGTGAAGTTGGAGTGGCTAAGGCACGGATGGTGGAGCTAACGGCCATGACAGGACGGCTCGAGCCGAGTGAACTGTGGACCAAGTATACATAACTCTCCAGCGGCTGAGATGGCACGATGAAAAACATCACAGCGGTTAACCTCCGGCGGCCAACCGGCAGAGATGTGGCCAGTTGTGGCCCTCCGTTCGATCAGTGAAAAGTCCTGGGTCTCCGTTCAATTATCGGGCAGTCGTGGGTCTCCGTTCAATTATCGCTCAGTCGTGGACCCTCCACTCGATCAGTGAGAGGTCGTGGATTTCCGTTCTATCATTAGGCAGACATGGGTTCTCCGTTCGATTAGTGGACAGCTGTGGGCCGTCCTTTTGATCAGCAGACAGTCATGGGTCCTTCGCTCGTTCGTAGACAGTTGTGGGCCCTTCGTTATATCAGTGTGCAGTCGTGAAGCCCCATTCGTGGGCAGTCATTGGTCCTCCGTTCGATCAGCGGACAGTCGTGGGCCCACCGTTCGATCAGTGGGCAGTTGTGGGCCCTCTGCTCAATTAGTGGATAGCCGTGCGTCCTCCGTTTAATTTGTGGACAGTTGTGGGCCCTCCATCCAATTAGTGGGTAGTCATGGGTCCTCCATTCCATCAGTGGACAGCTGTGGGTCCTCCATTTGATCAGTGGACTGTCATGGATCTTCCGTTCGGTCCGTGGGAGGGCATGGGCTGTCCATTCGGTCAGTCGGCAGCCGAGGACCTTCCGTTCGGTCAGTGGGCAGTCATGGGCTATCTGTTCGGTCAGTGGGCTGCCATGGGTTATTCGTTCGGCCAGTGGACAGTCGTGGACCATCCGTCCGGGCAGTGGGCAGTCGTGGGTCTTTCGTTCGTTCAGTGGGCAGCCATGGGCTGTCCGTTTGGTCAGTGGGCAGTCGTGGGCCTTCCACTCGGTCAGTGGGCAGTCGTAGGCTGTCCGTTCGATTAGTGAACAGTTGCGGGCCTTCCGTTCGGTCAGTGGGCAGCCGTGGGCCTTCCGTTCGGTCAATGGGCAGTCGTAGGGTTTCCGTTCGATTCGTGAACAGTCGTGGGTTTCCGTTCCATCAGCGCTTTCAGAAGCCGTGTCGAACTCGGAACAGCGATGGCGTTCAGCATTCCGTGAAACACGCTCGCGCGCCCAGCATGGGCTGCGCACAATAGAGTCCAGTGTGCCGACCACCCATACAATCACACAGCTCGTTTCTGGGGCCTGAATGTGCATAGAGCCCGTGTTGCTGATTCAGCAGTGTTTCCACTTGCATGTAGTGTGGTGCTGCAAGAAATATTTGGACATCTGAGTAAGCCGCGGACAACCTGTTTTTTTACGTCGCCTAACATCCGGGAATGTTTCGTTTGCATAGCTACGATACGCCATTCTGTAACCAGCTGACACAGTACGTAGGGCTTCCCCTCCGCAAACAAATGCTTCCCAAACGCAAAATGATCTATGAAACCTTTATTAACAACATCCAACACTTACTTCCAAAAAGGGCATGCAGTATCGATCCAGAAATCCATTTTCGCGAGCGCATGTCCACCATTCCGTAACGCTAAAATAAACACTCTGATTGCCGCAGCGCAACGAACAGCCCGCACTCCGATCATACGGCATGACAAACCCTGAATCCTGATATCCCCGACGTGTAAAAATTACCAAAGTGGCACCCGCGACAGCATGAATAAAAACAGCAGTGGAAGCTGCGGTGGCCCGCTGGCCGCCCGGCCGACAATCCATCGCCAGTAGCCGGCACCGGCCAGGGGCCGCGTCGGCGAGGGACCGCGCCGGCCAGGGACTGCGCCGGCCAGGGACTGCGCCTGTCAGGGACTGCGCTGGCCAGGGGCTACGCCGACCGGGACCGCGCCGGCCAGGGGCTGCACCCTGCCCGCTGCACTTCCAGCAGGACAGCGCGCGCAGACCGCGACGGGTAAGACGACAGCGCCTCGCGAACGGCGTCCTTGCGGGCTCTGCCGACCGCGGAGAGCCGGGCGGAATGAACGGTGTGCGGGGCCAGTGGAGAGCTATCACGCGGGGCGGGTGGCCGCCGCCAGCCTGGGAGCGCGGCCAGGCCGCAGCCAGCTCGCAGGCCCGGCTAGCGGCGGCCGGCCAGGCGCCGGGCACACGTCCCGCTCCAGTCAGCGGGAGACGCATTGCACATTGGTCCGGCGAGAGCAAGGCAAGCCTGGCGGTTCGGTAACTGGGAGACGAGAGAGGGGCTGGGAGCTGGAAGTGGGGGCACAGACCGGCCGGCGGGCCGCTCTGGCCTCCCCGGCGGATGGGAACAAAACACAAGCGGACCTCGTAGAAAAATAGACCCATACGCTGGAAGTCGGGCGGCCGAGACGGTCGCAGTTTCTAGTAGAATTTCTTTGCCGCCGCTTGCTTATTGTCCCTGCAAAACAGACAAATGTAACAAAGCATACTGCATGCAGACTTGCACGTGCCGTGGACTCGGAAAAACGGCTTCAGTATAAGGTTCGGAAGTAGTTGAGGCAGACAAATACCATGGAACCGTTGTAATGAAGCGTTGTGAACTTTCAAAACAAGTGAGATTAGTGCGTAACGAAAGTGAGGGAATACAAGACACAAGGCAAGTAACACAAGATACCACACAATAATTCCTCGAATGATCAGTCGATAATTACTAAGCGTCTTCCTTCCCAGCTCCCAACTTGCATATTTCACCCCGGACCAATACAAACGGCCATCAAACTACAATCCGACACGGCAGTGTTCTCTGGACGATCGCGAAAACGCCTCTGACTGCCGCGCACGAAGGCCGACATCGCGCAGACGTCAGCGCATGCGTGCATACTCCGGCCCTCACCTATACGTCAGGAAGCCCAGCATAACCACCAGCTGAACGAGCACGACGCCGACGAACACGCCGACGCTGACGCAGCCGCCGGCGCCGGAGGGACAGGCCGGCGGCGGCTGCTGCTGCAGTCGCTGTGCCGTGATACTCATGTCGCGTTTCACCATGTTCAGGCCGTCCCGCAGCTCGTTCATCACCTGGGCGGGGCACGGAGGCCGTTACACAGGTGAGAGACCACAGCCAACAGCTGAGGGAACGCCGCTACACCTCCACTGTGGTAATGTCAGCACGGGAAACGCGCCGGCTGCTCGACCCACGACGCTCATGCCACTTGGTCGTCGCTGATGAGACGTACGACTATGCACGTGCAATTCGGCCTAATTGAAGGGATCGTCGATTCAATAATCCGTCGGTGGTAACACGCCATTATGTCCAAACTACGTACCTCATAAAACTGCGAGCGAACACATCTACCAGCCGGGGCAACGGCAATAAACTGCATCCATCGGTGCAAAAGGCTCGGTAGGTTAGACGGCCGGCTTCCCGCTCCACCCACTCGTGGCGGAGTGGCTTCGAGTCGTTCGAAGTGATCGCTATTTGCCCCTGACTGCGATGGCGTGCAGCCGGTGACGGCCGCCGCGCTAAAGGTCAAATGACGTTAGAGGGCGCGACAAACCGACCCGAGCAGTGCGGTTCGTTACGCTTTCACCGTGAAACGCCGTTGGCATACCACTTCAAAATCGGGTGGTGGGAACGCGGATTATACAAACATCGCTTAGCGTGGGCGTTGATCCCAAGCATTTATCCAGTCAGAGGGTTTGGACACCAACCCGCCCTTACCGCCCCCCCCCCCCCCCCCCTCTGCGAATGACGCTAGATCGGTTGTTAAAATTTCGGGGGCTCTGCCGCCGTGCTAATAAGATCTTATCAACGTGCCGCCGTGCTAATAAGGTCTTACCAACAAACTACTTAGGGCACAGCGACCATCGAACCTACATCATCAAGCCTCAGCTAACCGGAGTCGTGTAGATGCTGCGGCTTATGGGAACTTCATCCACACGACCAGCCTGCACCTCCCTGAGCATGTCCGTCACATGTCTGGCTGATCACTGCTCTGTTTGTGTATGACGTAAAACGCCAAAGAGGGACCGCTGTGTCCATACATAGAAGCTGTGGCTGCTCTGTTTGTGTGTGACGTAAACGCTACAGAAGGACCACTGTCCGTACGTAGAAGAGGGGCTATTATGTCTGTACATATAAGCTGAGATCATTGTTTCAATACCGCATCAGCAAAAGGTGTCATGGAGATCGAATTGTAGTTGCAAAAGCTACGAGGGAGACCAAAATCAGCGGACACTCCGATCTATCCATAAATGGGAGACCAAAAATAAGGAATGTCCAAAACCTGAGTCCGAATCGTCCCGTAAGCATTTTCCACCGAAGAACAATGTTGAATTTTGATACTCTGGCCAGGACTGGAGGCTCCACCACACATGCAAAGATTATACTGCGTGCGATATGCTGCTGTTTTTCCACAAAATCAAAGTTTCTTTAAAATGCCACCAGGCGGCCAAACAACGGCCACCAGATGGCCTCAACACAGCCACCCGATGGCCACCCCAAGTCTCGGAAGACCAAATGGAACCGCGCCGGCACACGCCGCCGTGTTAAATCGGTTGCAAGCCCGTAATGGAGGCAAAATACATGCTGCGTGCCTCGCGTGCCTGCGTGACCGCGTGGCTGGCAGTACCGGGCGCACGAGCGCACCACGTCAGCGTGCCGCCCCACCTTCTGTTGCTCGAATGCGCCGCCGGCGCCACCCGCCTGCTGCACCGTGCCCACCGGCTTCTGCTGGTTCTGCAGGATCGTGTGTGACCGCTGGTTGATCTCCCCCACAAAGTTCCTGCGGACGAGCGTAGGGTGACAGCGGGCGCGAGGATTCGGTGACGCCGGTGCAGTCCGGCCTTCAATGTTTTGGATCAGGGTGGAGAATCACACTGACGTAGGAACAATTGTCCACGGCACCTCCAACACTCCTCATGCTCCACGCTCTTTCCACGATCAACTCATCGCTCATTCATTTCAGACAAGGTGCTATAAATTGCGCATCTTCACTAACATAGCCTTGACTCTACACCCAGATGATCACCCAGGCTGCATGTTCCTCCTGCACTTGACTCAAGGAACAGTTCCCCACGGCCCCGGTACAACCTGATCGCGAACCCCACGCCGACCGACGGCCGCCTGGCAGCGCTCACTCACTTGATCTCACGGGCCGCCTGCACAATCTCGCGCTGGTTGTTCAGCACGGCGTCCACCTCATGCCGCCGGATGGAGTCGGCGGCCGGCAGCGCCGCCTGCTGGGGCTGACCGGCCGGCGCCGGCTGGCCGGCCGGCCGCTGGCTCAGCGCGCTCAGCGTGCGCTCCTGGCGGCCGATGATCTCGTCCATCTTGCGGTGCATCTCGCGGATCGTCTCGTAAATCTGGCTCTGGCCGTCGAAGATCTGACGCAGCTCGCGCGACGTCTCCGGGTCAAACTCGTCATCGTACTCGTCGTCCTTCTTGGCGTCCGGGTGCTGGCGCTGGTAGCTGGCGGCGGGTGCGGCGCGTTAGCTGACGTGGGCGCGGCAGGAGGTGCACCGGCTGGGCTTCGGGGCGCCCCAGCTGAGGACAGTGCGGTGATTCATGCTATTCGATCTGGCACGTAATGTGACACGTGTGCTGACACCCGAGACGATCACCTGCACACGCCGTGGCTGGCGTAATCGGGCGGGTACGAGAACACAAGTGGGCCTGGGTCAGCAGGGTGGAGTGAGCTAGTCATGCCAGTGACATTACATCCCTTTACCCATCTGCAGTTCCTTTGACAACATTGGTAAGAGAGCAGTCACCTTCCAAATCGCATTAGTTCTCTTGAACGAAAAAAAGGGCGAAAGGCATTTGTGATCATGACGTAAAAATTAATCACTGAAGTGCAGTAATCTTGCAATGGCATACAACAATGAGAAAAAAGTAAAACTAGAAGCATAAGCTTAACTGTCCAGTGCCTCAGATGGACGCAATTTGCCGTCCAAACTATCACTGCCAGGTCAGCGTTATTCGCCAGTAACGTCTACGCTATAAGTGAAACCGCCTCCCTCGTCCCCCTCGTTACTCCCCCCTACCGCCCTCTGCCACCAACTAGCACGAGGAATGACGCACTCAGCCTTGGCCTGCTCCGTCTTCTGCTGGTAATCGTCAAACTCCTTCTTGAGCCGCTGTCGCTCCTGCTCGCTGATGCGCTCGTCCTTGATGTCCTGCGGGTTGGTCGCCAGCGACGTGGTGAGGAACTTGATCACGTCGTGGTCGTCGGCCAGGCCGCCGGTGGCCGCCGACAGGCCGAAGAAGCCGTTCTCGGGCAGGTACACGTTCTCGGCGCGGAAGCACAGCTCGTAGTCCTTGTCGCTGTTGGTGATGCCGTTGTGCATCTCCAGGGTGAGCACGCTGTTGAGGTAGGTGACCCGCACGCGCACCGGGTGCGGCTTGTTGCGGAAGTCGCGCAGGCAGCCGCCGATGATCTGGCCCTGGCCGTCGCTGAAACACGACCGCGGCGTCAGCCCCTGGTTTACTACATGGACCCGGACGGTCAGGCGACCTGCCGCCGGTTTTCCGGTAAGCGCGTTTTCTTGACCGCTTATGTGCATCCGCATTACAAACACAAGGGTAATCGTTGGGGAATGCACTAAGTTCAGTTGGCGGCGTTGCCAACTCTATGCATTACAGAGCGCTGTTATTTAGAGACGGAGTAGCCCATGGCATTGCGAACGTCACCACCGTGGGCAGCATCCAATACCGTACAACCCGAAATCAGAGGACCTATATAAAGGTGTTTCTCACCGTTCGTGGTCATAGACCTGTGTACCGTCGTTGACAATGGCCGACACATAGGGATTGTTGCGCTTGTTGTCGTTGTCGAACGAGTCAAAGAAGACGCCCAGTCCGTTCCACTTATCCTTGGAGCCGAACACGGGACCGTCCACCATCCGCTCGGTGGTATACCACATCGCCTGGAGCATCGGCAGGGTCAGCGCCAGGCCATCGACCTCACAGGCAGCACCGTCAGTGGGCAGGTCTGCCGAGCTCACCAGGACGCTCTGAATCGTCACGCTCTGCAGCTGCACACATCACACAAGATACTCTTTACATACCAAGGTGGACACTGAATATTTCTGCAGGTCAACGCACACATATATGCACACACTCAACGATGTTTAACTATTTGTCACACCATCCATGGGATACATTGCACAGCAGAAGAAGGAGAGCGGAGAGGATCAGGTTCTCACCAGGCCGTCAGCACCGATGCGACCTCGGCCCGTGATGCGGAACCACATCTCGACCTCCCACCACTTGAAGGTGACTTGGTTCTTGTTCCAGATCATTCCCTTTTGGCTCTTCAGAGAAGGCGTCACCCTCACATTGTCTGGGCTGGCAATGGTATCTGAAGATCAGACCACAGGGTTGGTGTCTTGGACACATGAGAAAAAATTAATCCGAACCTTCTGAACGGATGGATTTCTAGGATCAGAGGTCACACTGAGCAGTGTTTGGTTCTATGACGTCTGACCCCCACCATCTGATTGCACCATTCAAATGCAACGGCAGAATTTCGCGGCGAAAGTGTAACGTGCCACCACGTTCCGCACGGTCCGTCCTGCTCTCTGACATTAACTGACCTTTAGCACGGCAGCTGCCACTACCCGCAGGTCATACCTGTCAAGGCCAAATAGCGAGCGCCTAAGCGACTCGAACCCACCCCACCACGGGTCGGTGGATCGGAAGGCAGGTGCTCTAACCAACTGAGCCACTCTAATGGACCAAATCAGCACTCACATGTACACAATCTTGCACAGCACCGCACTTTTCCTACATGCTGCCACATTAAGTCTCCAGAAAAAAAAATGAAACTTGATTCATATGGAGCTAGCACCTTAATATAAGACATGTCAAATGTGCTCAAAATGAGCATTTTCAAAAAGGTTAAACTGCAGTGGGATGCAATGCAATGCAGTGGGCTACTGGACCATTAATAGCAGTCTGAGTTGTGCTGCAAGAGAGTAAATCATCTACTTAGTATTGCAGCAGGCTGCAAATTAGTAGATCCCAACAAAATCCATCAGGGCTGGGTACAAAATATGAACACAGCTTCATAAATTCATGAGGACTGTATACAACAGTTTGGCAGAAATACAAGTAGCTTGCTGTTTTAGTCCTTTGCAGGCATTTTTTGGTGATTTAGTCCCTACAATGGGAAGGGGCACTGCTTAGATATGGTGGAGCAGGGGCTCAGTTCAGAACATCAGACAGTTTGCTTTCATTCAATCTGGAGAGGAGAGAATTATTTAAAATTTTGCCAGCATAGACCAAATCATCAGTAAACCACCACAAACATATATGCCAGAGCAAAATACAGCATTAAACAGCTTCTAACTCCAGACATATGGAACACCATCATGTGTAGCTATCTTGGCTGGCTTTGCATCCTCAATGAGTTTATGAAGTCTATGGAGATTTAGAGAGCAGTTTAGTTCCCAAACTCTGTCCTAATAGCTCATTCAGTTAGAGTGCCTGCCTTTTGATTCACCCACCTGTGGTGGGATATGTTAATGTGCCTGCCTTCTGATTCGCCCATATGTGGTGGGACAAGTTGGTCACGTCAGGTGCTCACCATACCTTCCCAACTACAATGGCATTCAGCCAGTGGGGGCTGCCATGCTAGAGGTCAGAAGACATCAGAGGACAGGACACAATGTGCCAAGCATTGCAGCATGTTTCAGCTTCTGCCTCAAAATAATGCCATCAACCCAAAATTGCATGACCATGTGGTGGGGTCTGGGCTCATGCATCAAGTACTGCTTACTGTGGATGCTGATCCCAGAAGTCCATCCAGTAAAAGGCTTGACTGGACCTTAGAAAACTACCTGAGCTGACTGAGTGAATTCAAACTAAAACTGAATTCAAACCCCTACATCAGAATCAGTTCCATAATTGCACCATTAGCATCTGAGTCAGAATCAGAGCTGAAAACAAGTTATGCTTTGCTCTTCTGAATCAGACAAAATCAATCCCCTACACTGCGAATTGGAGTCAGGATCCATTACATTGAAGCAGTGTCATACACAGGCCTGCCCAAGGCATCCAAGGGCTTATCAAGCCCTGCTGATACCTGTATCTTTAGGCAAAGTTCAGGTGAAGGCATTGCCTGAGATGCATTTAAGTTAAAAACCTTATTGACCACATAAAACTTATGGCTTTACAATGTGATGTTAGTATGCAGCTCCCAGTGCCAATATTTCTCCTAAAGCCCACCACAAAATACACCACAAGATGTCCACATTTAGTCATGTGCCAGTCTGCAGTGCAAACAGTTGCAACATGCCTCAGACAGCATTTACCCTACTCTAAGTAGTGAGTCATCTCTGCCAAGGTAGTGCTGCTACACTTATAGCAGCTTGGGCTAAGATAGCCTAACCTTAACATGAAGTTTGCCACCAGATTTAAGCCACTTGGCTTTGAACCACCAGGTAGTAGTCCATATGAACTGCTATACTTGGACAGTTCAAGGCACATTTCTTGTACTACATTTCTTATGCTCTGACACCATATGTTCTTAACAAGGATGGTAGCAATTTTAGGTTTGTGATAACAATGTTGCATGGATCTTGTTTGCCAGAATATTTTGAAGATCAGAAAAGTACCAACTATACATCATGCAGGCATGACAGAAGTGATGGATCTACTTCATCAAAGGCCACAGTCCCACCAAGATATGGCACTATTCCATTCAGAGGACATGCCAGTAACCTTTGCCCTTCTGCTCATCTGAAAAGTAGCACAGCTTCCTTATGGCATTAATCCACATGAGACATTTTGGCCACACAATTTTAAAAGTAACTCCCAGCCAGCAAAAATTATATCCACTGTGTGATGCACCTAGGCAACATCAATGTGCTGAGCCTCATGCTCATAAGTGCCAAGCCCTGCAGGACATATTGCCCTGAATTTTAATGATTTTGACACCAAAAAATGCTTTGTAGTAAGTTTTTATAAAATTTCCATCTCAGCATCATCATTCCCTCAAATATTGACTTGATATTTGTGAAATTGGCAGCACCATGTGCAAAACAGTAGGGTAGGAATTTAGGCTCAAATATAGCAGGATGAAATTGTGGCTGTGACATATGCTATCTTAGCCCTGCTGTACCCAACATATGTGTCCCACCAGACATGTCCAGGGTAACACCAGACATGGCTGGGACAACAGGTACTTTTTGCCAGTCTGGAGCAACCTTGCAAGATCTTGTGAAACTCTACCTCGTCTTGCAGAGTGGGTTGTAATCACTAACTCAGTCTGATACATGATTCTCATATGCAAATACCCACAGCAAGCAATTCAGACTCCAAATCAGTCCCGACATAACATGGGCAAACAAGTCTGCGGTTGAAAGGATTAAACTACACTATTACACTATACTGTTAGATAGATACAGCGTGTCTTAAGGCATATTATGATCATGTGCATCCATGCTCTAATCCCTCCATTCTGCATCTCAAATACACCATCTTTTTTATCTACTAGTATTGTCTGGAAGGCACATCAAATGCTGACAAGTGCTTTTTCAGTCTGGACCATGTGACTTACACATATCACCCTTGGCACTGAGAAATCTCACAAGTCTGAAGCATCCAATATCCATCTTTCAATGCATACTTTCACATCTGTCATACCTTTGTAGCAATTGACTTAGGCTATGTAGATAAGTACCTACTTGAGAGCTGGCAACTGTTCTGCATCCAGACTATGTCACTGGCCACCCGAGTGACTGACAGGGGTTAACAATAGTGGAACACAGCAGTCTCCCATTAGGGCACATAGCGCAAGCCGATACCAATTAACGCCCACTACCGACAAACTGGTATACAGTAACAGCGGGACGCCCACATGGTTTGATAGCTCCACTTACTTCCTTTGTGCTCCCAAAATGGAACAGTCCCATCCTTTTGGGCAAGGTATGGAGGTTTGAACCCATACTTATATTCAAATCTTCTGTGGACCGCATCCCCTTTTACGGAGAAAACAGCAGAAATGGTCAAAAGTAGGACAAACATATTGAACGTGTCCATGTTAACAGCAAAGGCCGAAATCAGCCGAGTAGGCATGATGTGGAAGTGACGCTTCCTCCTATTGGTTGACGGAGCCGCAGTTGTCATAGCTACCATTGAGAGTGCTGTGACTAAAAGACAGACTAAATTTGAATGCTGGTAGTTCGGCGGGTCAAGAAACCTTATGTTGAATTCCCTTTATTTCAACTCATAATTCTTGGCTTAAAATTTTTCGAAGCCCTATCAATACCTGAATTTGTAAATCCTTAGCCTAAAAGGCTCGAAGTATATCAAAGTACATGCTTAAAATTGTTATTCTGCGCGATCCTTCTTTCATCAAGTATGAATTATATTCACAATAATTGAAACAAAATGGCTTAAATAACCAGATTTATTCGAATATGTGCATACATTCGTTGATCGATTTTAAGGTGCAGCGCAACGCAATTCAGAAGTCGATGCATATATTTTTTTCAGAAAAATACTGCAGGGGTCAAGCTGGATAAGACAGTCTTTTAGTGATTCCTAGCCCTCAAACGTGCTCTGGCTTTGCGCTTTCCGTCTCGGCGATCTTGGCGCAAACTGCCAATAGTGTGCACCGTGTAACGCTGGTTGGTCTGCGGTTGTTTCGCGCAGCGTCACGGATTTTCTAGAGTTGTTTTGTATCCGTCGGACGAGTACCAAGTGGCTATTGCGCAGGGGACAGCGTGATGTGCGATCATCATAGTTATATGGTCAAATACTTCCATTAACATTGAGATCGAGAGGTTGGTACATGTTTGGTCTTGTTTTCGCTCCGTCATTCATCAGGCATGCAGTTATTTTTGCTGCATGGTTCGAGTACCGAGATTATCAAGACGTGTTTGATTCTGAAACTGATGAGTTTTTCAAAGAATGGTTCTTGTTTTGTTTCCACAGGTATGCGAAGGCATGCACAGTATGCCATATTGCATGTTACAAGGCAAAGGTGAAGCATTGTCAATACTGAGAGTGCAGCTGTAGGTATTAGGCAGGTAGTCTTTGAGCAGAGCAGCCTATGGCTTATACAGGTGGCAGTGATAGAGTGGTCAAGCTGTGAATTTGTGAAACCAGAGGCATGGATTTTGGTTTGGTTTTATTTTCCTGACAGGGTGAATGTCAGGTGATGCTTTGCAACCTCAGCTGCTTGAAACTTTGTAATCACCAAAGAACAACAGTTCACTCTGAAAATGTATATAGATTAGAGGCACTTTGCTGTGGCATTACTGTATCAACTGTATTTCTGTTGATGAAATGTGAAAATGCATGCATATTAGGGTATTGATTTGATACCTACCCAATTTGTTCTTTGCATCATGTATAGAAGAACTGCTTGACACCATTATCTTTAGAATGTATGCACTGTACCAGGTGACATCAATGCACTAAACCTGGTGCAATTGAGCACTTAGCTCACCTTGGTCTTGACAGTGCTTATTGAAATGGGGATTTTTGTTTACAATTACTGTTACAAGATTCATAACATTGCCTTTCTGTTCACTGAATAAAGTGACTAAGTGTCATGTATAAACTAAGGCAGTCAGATTTATAAAAAAAAACATGCACCAAAATGAATGCCGAGATTTTGCCAGTATGCCAGACATGTTTGGTGCAGGAAGTATTTTTGCAACTGTGTGGATGGATGCTGCACATCAAATGTTAACTGTTATTATCAGATAACTAACAAAACATGATGGTAATGTGCCATTCCATGTTTTGTAATATCTTTCAATAACATTATTCAGTGATATTTAGGTGGCTGGCTTGTATTTGTGATATCATGAAGCATATTCTATTGGTCAAGCTTGCTAGGCTATTTTGTTGTGAAACATTATGCATGATGATATCACTAATGTGCAGGTATTTACCAGCCAAAGATGTACTTAAGGTGTTCATGACTTGGATTCAGACTTTTAGGTAAAGGCCTGAAGGTGGATGGGACTGAACTAGAGCTTTTTCCCCTATGTTTAAGCCATGTGCAGCCTACTATGGTTCAAAACTAAATTGCATAACAAAAAACTTATCATATGCACTGACCCTATTTTTTATACCACATTTGAGCTTTACCTCCCCTGGGATTTGCACCTTCTGTCTTGGAAGCGTGCTGGAAGTGTGTTTAGTTACTGTTTGCCGCCTACCATCTCTGCTGTCACTTGTCTGGTCCCTTTGCTATGTACCATCTCTGCTGTCTGTATGCTATCTGCCATCTCTATCACCACCTGGCTGGTCCCTCTGTTTTGTGCCATCTTTGCCATCACTTGTCTGGTTCCATGCCCACCATTGTAACAACCTTAGTTGCATTACATATGTGCTCATGTCTTTGGGTCTGTAGAAACAGGTCTGCCAAAAACATAACTAAGTATACAAGTGATCACCTGTGACAATCAAATCATTGCTAGAAAATGCTAGTTTATCACATTTATTATCTGCTCATGCTCGGTGCTTCAGTTTGACATTGTGGTCAGTATTGCCCATCTGTCCTTATCTGTGAAGCAAGGTACAGCAGACTGTGGCAGAACATGTGCCTACTTGTTTCTGAAGGCCATGCCAGTTGAGTCTCTGACTTGCTTGAGCAGGCTCACCTCACTTCTCACTTAAACTAGTGCAAACATGACAGTAAGGATTAGTATCTAACCGCAGCTGTCCCCATTCCAGGACCTACCCTGCCACCAGCATGGTGCCCGGCGCAGGACCGAACGCTGAGACCATCAGCGAGCTGAATGACCTGATCAAGGCTTGGGAGGATGGCATTCGGGACAGCAGCTGGGATCCAACGCCCACCATCAGACGGTATGGGGGGCGGGAGTGGCTGCTGGCTGCCCTGCCATGCTCAGCAGCACCCAACAGCTGCTACGTGGGCAGTAAAAGTATCATGTTTGTGTTGGGATGACTGTGGTTATCATTGAATTCCTGAAATTTCACTGGATATAATATGTTTATGGTATGTATAGGTATATATATATATATATATATATATATATATATATATATATAATCCATGCTTTTTGACATTTGTAACGCTTCGTTAACTTGGTAGCTGCCGTCCTGCGTTACCCTTCCGAGAAAAGAAACTCCGATATTCTTCTGCCTTGGGCCTTCTATTAACGACGTGCCTCCTCCAACGCCGATCAGCGCGAACTCTCTCGCGAAAACTCGCCGGACACCCACATCACCTCGGACAGCTCTGCAGACCTCCGTGGAAAGCCACGCGCTCGCCTATTGGCCAACACTTTCCCGTTTCGTCTGCCGACCCTGAAACCAGCTGTGCACAAAACCTGAGGCATAAGTGGTGCACAACAAACTACATCGTCTACCGCACATCACAAACAGCTGACTTCTTTCTTCGTCGATAACGCACCTCACCTAAACGCTAAGCTTGGTCCTAACACATTTATTACTGAATGGTCTGTTTAGACCCACTGTTGATGTTCCCATGTCGGACCACTGCCTACGTTTTATGAATCATATGTGGCAGTGTGTTGATGGTGCAACCGCTGTGTGATGGTGGCCCGTTGTGTTCGAAACTCTGCTGTTGCGTCACCAGGATAGCCGAGATAGTGGAGGAGGAGAACAACAACTACCTGAAGACAGATCCGGACCCGTTCGATGAGCGCCACCCGACCCGGGTGAATCCACTGTGCACTTTGGGCCAGCTCTTCAAGATCATCTGCAAAAAGGACAGCTTCATGGACAAGGCATGAACAGCAGCCTCCTCACAGCTTTTCATGATGTCTGCTTACTAAGTTGGCTTTCGGATTTCTTCGTGAATCATCTTGCTCGATCTTGCGTGCAATACAAAGCCGTATTGGGAACAAAAGGAAAACAGCATTCATAAAGCCTTGGATGGCACAGAAATATAAAAAATCACCGACAGCCATGTAAGTTATCATGCATGCATCTGCCAGCAAGCTGATGTTACTTCACTCTGTTTGGTGACGTCGGTGTTACCCTGCCACGCGTCTGCTCGGCTGCCACCTGTTGTCGCTCACCGCACGTGTCTGCCGCCCCTGCAGCTGGTGCTGGACTACACGCGCGAGAACTTCTGGACGCGCTCCGCCGGCCTGTCGCGTGACCCGACCGAGCTCAACACGCACGCCGCCCGCCTCCTGCTGGACATCATGGCCGGTCTGGAGACGTCGGTCGTCTTCCAGGTGGGTCCGGCGCGCCGCACCACGGCGGGCACCCAGCAGGCGACAGGCACCGACGGCGATGGCGATGTCGTCCGTCTGCGGCTGTGTGATGCGGTTTTACCGCCCGTGGCGTAAGGTGTGGTGCGGTCGTGTGGGTGGCCCGCCGCCGGACCGGTCTGCCGCCGCTGGGTAGTGCGTGGTCGGCGGCCTGTGCTGATGCCTCAGCTTATCACCACTGTCGCCACTAATGTCCTTTTTTGTCGCCGCTGTCGCCACCAATGTCCCTGTTTGTCGCCACTGTCACCACTGATGTCCCTGTTTGTTACCACTGCTGCCACTGATGTCCCTGTTTGTCACCACTGTCGCCACCGATGTCCCTGTTTGTCACCACTGTCGCCACTGATGTCCCTATTTGTCACCACTGTCGCCGCTGACGTCCGTGTTTGTCACCACTGTCACCACTGATGTCCTTGTTTTTCACCACTGTCGCCGTTGACGTCCGTGTTTGTCACCACTGTCGCCACCGATGTCCGTGTTTGTCACCACTGTCGCCGCTGGCGTCCGTGTTTGTCACCACTGTCGCCACTGACGTCCGTGTTTGCCCGTGCGGTGTCGGCGGCGGCGTATACGCGGCGGACCTGCCGACAGGAGGCCGAGAGCCTGATCCGGCGGCTGTTCGGCTGGGCCGAGTCGGCCCCGGAGCCTCTGCGCAGCTACGCCACCGGCCTGCTGGCCGCCGCCATGGAGGTGCAGGACATCGCCGGCAACTTCAGGTGGGTGCCGGTTCCTCCGCCGGCGGCGGGCATGCAGCTGCTTGGAGGCTGAGTCAGTCGCGCGCCCGGCGCCGGAATCATGCATGGGGGCTGCCTGGTTCCGCGGTCATGCATCAGCACTGCTTAGCTGCGCAGTCATGCATCGGCGCTGCCTGGCTCCGGGGTCATGCATCGGTGCTGCCTGGCGCCGGGCTCATGCATCGGCGCTGCGTGGCCCCGGAGTTACGCATCGATGCTGCCTGGCGCCGGGGTTGCGCATTGGCGCTGCCTGGCGCCGGGGTTGCGCATCAGCGCTGCCTGGCGCCGGGGTCATGCATTGGCGCCGCATGGCGCCGGGGAATCGAATGGTGTACGGCCGACGTGAACTTAAATAAAACTGATGTGATAAATGAGCGCGTACACTGCCAACCTGCGCGCGACGTGGTCAGCCAGACTTTTGCTCGGTGTCGTCGGTCTGCAGGTGGTTCTGTTGGTCTGCATCCGTGCTACGGCCGTCGAGTGTCGGCTCGCTGCCGCTGTGATATGCTTTTTGTCGTGGATGATCTCGTCTCTTACGAGGGTTTCGTGCCTTGTGTTTGGCGAATACGAAAATGACCCGTGTACCTGGTCTGGTGTTGAGAATGTCGGTAACGAGTCTGCGTTAATCATTGTGCGTCTGGGAAACAGAGGTACGGAGTTCGATTACCGGCGTTGGCCGCCTGGCCCGCTCAGTGTGGGAGGCAGGTGACGCCATATGGCCCCAGCAGCTGAGTGCGTCGGAAGGCCCCGATGGCGACGGCCACGACTGCTCCGGTATTGGCTGACGAGACAGGTGCTCTGTGCGTTCGTCGGGATGGTGGTTGGATACAGGATTGCCGCCTGGTTATGCAGTCCATTGGCTGCCGTGCTGTGCCGTGTTTCGGCGCTCCGTGCCCGTCGCTGTTCGGTCCGCCGGTCTCTGCGGGCCGTTCCGTATGCCTTACGTGGCACCCACCCCGCCGACAGGGATTCGAACGCCCGCCTGGTGCCGGTGATGATGCAGCGGCTGAAGAGCCTGCAGGCCGAGACGCTCGGCGCGCCCGGCCAGACGGAGGGCGAGGCGCGCCGAGTGCTGGCCGACCGGCCCTTCGCCCAGATCAGCGGCCTGGCCGACCGGCCGTTCGCCCAGGTCAGCGGCCTGGCCGCCACCGCGGCCGCCGCCGCCCGGCTGCACGGTACGTCTGGTCCAGGTCCCGGCTCGGACTCAGGCCCCGGCCCCGACCCCGGCTCCGACCCCGGCTCCAACCCCGACCCCGGCTCCGACCCCGGCCCTGACCCGTTCTCCAACCCCGATCCCGATCCCGACCCCGACCCCGACCCCGACCCCGACCCCGACCCCGACCCCCCCGACCCCGACCCCGACCCCGACCCCGACCCCGACCCCGACCCCGACCCCGACCCCGACCCCGACCCCGACCCCGACCCCGACCCCGACCCCGGCCCTGACCCCGGCCCCGGCCCCGACACCGGCCCCTGCCCAGATCTAGACTCAGGCCCCGGCCGCGACCCTGGCCCCGACCCCGGCACCGACCCCGACCCCGACCCCGACCCCGGCCCCGACACCGGCCCCCTGCCCAGATCTAAACTTAGGCCCCAACCCCGGCCCTTGCCCAGATCTAGACCCAGGCCGCGACCCCGGCCCCTGCCCAGATCTAGACTCAGGCTCCGGCCCCGGCCCCGGCCCCGGCCCCCGACTCCCGACTCCCGACTCCCGACTCCCGACTCCCGACTCCCGACTCCTGACTCTCGATTCCGGCCCCGGCTCCGGCCGGGACCCTACAGACCCGTCACGTGCTTTGTAGGCCGGGCCGCCGGCGGCCGGGGCTCTCTAGTCGAGACTAGCGAGACGCACGGCTGTACTGGCATGGCTGGCAGGCGCTGTCTGGCTGGCAGTGCTCCTATTTGCTTCATCTCGGCCGGCTAGATGCCTGCTCTTGATGCTGCTTGGCCTGTTTTTTCCCCCCTATTTGTCGCTTGTATTGTAGTAGCACCCCCTCGCATAATGCTATTTGTTCCGTGTCGTGCAGATTTTTTATTATTTCCAGACGACAGTGAAGCTAGGGAAGAGGAGAATTCGAAGCTAGGAAAAAGAAACTTCAGTTGTAAGTTACCCGGCATTGCTACTCTTGCCAATCGAAAAACCTACGCTGAGTCTGTTGAATCCATTTCAGGCATTTCAGTACCGCAGTCGCGTATAGCAGTTTTTGTCCGCTCAAACGCTGCCCTTCTCATACTCACCCTGGCATGCGCACGTTGATGCTGTTAGTTGCCTGCGCACGCTAGTGTGCATGGTATACTGGTCACAGTCCGTCCGTCGCGCGCGTAAGTGTTGCCCCCCACCGCCGTACCGACAGCTTCTGACCCAAAACCGAGTACTGCTAAGCACGTCGGCTTTTAACAAGTCCTGTTCGGCGCTAACCATCGCTTAGGTGACGTGCAGAGCATTGCCTGGGTAATAAGCCCGGAGCGCGGCACGCGTTGTGCTGGGATGTGTCTGTGGTGTGCCGACCCTGACCCGATGTCCGTGGTGTGCCGACCCTGACCTGGTGTCCGTGGTGTGCCTCCCCTGACCCGGTGTCCGTGGTGTGCCTCCCCTGACCCGGTGTCCGTGGTGTGCCGACCCTGACCCGGTGTCTGGTGTGCCGACCCTGACCCGATGTCCGTGGTGTGCCGACCCTGACCCGGTATCCGTGGTGTGCCGACCCTGACCCGGTGTCCGTGGTGTGCCGACCCTGACCCGGTGTCCGTGGTGTGCCGACCCTGACCCGGTGTCCGTGGTGTGCCGACCCTGACCCGGCATCCGTGGTGTGCCGACCCCGACCCGGTGTCCGTGGTTTGCCGACCCTGGCCCGGTGTCCGTGATGTACCGACCCTGACCCGGCGTCCGTGGTGTGCCGACCCTGAGTCGGTGTCCGTGGTGTGCCGACCCTGACCCGGTGTCTGGTGTGCCGACCCTGACCCGGTGTCCGTGGTGTGCCGACACTGACCCGGTGTCCGTGGTGTGCCGACCCTGAGCCGGTGTTCGTGGTGTGCCGACCCTGACCCGGTATCCGTGGTGTGCCGACGCTGACCCGGTGTCCGTGGTGTGCCGACCCTGACCCGGTGTCCGTGGTGTGCCGACCCTGACCCGGTGTCTGGCGTGCCGGCCCTGACCCGGTGTCCGTAGTGTGCCGACCCTGATCCGGTGTCCGTGGTGTGCCTCCCCTGACCCGGTGTCTGTGGCGTGCCGACCCTGACCCGGTGTCCGCAGTGTGGCGACCCTGAGCCGGTGTCCGTGGCGTGCCGGCCCTGACCCGTTGTCCGTAGTATGCCGACCCTGACCCGGTGTCTGGTGTGCCGACCCTGACCCGATGTCCGTGGTGTGCCGACCCTGAGCCGGTGTCCGTGGGGTGCCGGCCCTGACCCGGTGGTGCGACATCAGCCGGCAGCGCCGGGCTCAGTCCGCCGCCGCTGATGTCGCCGCCGCGCTGCACGGCCGGCGCCAGCCAGCCGGAGAACAGCAACTCGTCGTGGGCCGAGCTGCGGCCGCAGCTGATCGGCACCTTCCAGATGCACCCGATGACGGCGGCGACGCGCCAGATCCTGCTGCTGCGCTATCTGACACCGCTCGGAGAATACCAGGAGGTCAGTCAGGAGATCATCGGATGGCCCCAGCTGACCCGACTCGACTCGACTCGACTCGACTCGACTCGACTCGACTCGACTCGACTCGACTCGACTCGACTCGACTCGACTCGACTCGACTCGACCCGACCCGACCCGACCCGACCCGACCCGACCCGACCCGACCCGACCCGACCCGACTCGACTCGACTCGACTCGACTCGACTCGACTCGACTCGACTCGACTCGACTCGACTCGACTCGACTCGACTCGACTCGACTCGACTCGACCCGACCCGACCCGACCCGACTCGTCCCAACCCGACTCCACCCGTCCCAACCCGGCTCGACCCGACCCAACCAGCCCAACCCGACCTAACCCGACCCAACCCAACTTAACCCAATCCAATCCTATCCTATCCAGTCCAATCCAGTCCAGTCCAGTCCTGATCCAGTCCAGTTCCAACCTGATCTGACCAGACCAGACCAGACCAGACCGGGACGGACCTGACGCAGTTACGTTTAGCCTGACCTGACTAGGATTGGTGTGATCAGACCAGAGCCCACCTCGCTTCACTTCTATGAACACGCACAGTATGATATTAACATAGGATCAATTAGTATCCAGGCTTTTGAAGCCAGTGTGGAGCCACCATGTAGAAGTAGACCCCAGATCCATGCGCGTGATGCCCATGTGTGGCGCCGTGACCGGCATCTGAGGCGGACTCCGACGTTCACGCACCACCCGGCACCCGCTCCGCCCGAGGTCAGCTGACACCGCCCCGGGCGCCGACAGTGGCTGGGTCACGTGTTCGAGCAGAACATGATGGCGCTCGTCTTCCGCTACATCAACTTCCGGCTGAACCCGGACGCCCGGCTGGCCTTCGAGGCGCTCAAGTACCTGTCGGCGCTGCTCTGCCACAAGAAGTTCACGCTCGAGTTCCTCAGCCGAGGCGGGCTGGAGGTGGGCGGCCGTGTCCTGGTGACGACGACGGTGTCACGTGATGTGTGGGCGTAGAAGGTCCAGCGCTGACGCGCTGAGACGCGCGTGGGCCCGGGTTCGATTCCCGGCGGAGTTCATATGAATGGGGTACCGCGGGCGTTCTGTGAAAACGTTGCGCGACGGTTAAGACTGCCCACCTTTTCGATGAGGCGGGGCCCATTACGTGAGGTGAGAGCCGGAGACTGGTGTGTGCGCCCGTGACGTGCCGTGTCTGTGGACAGCTGCTGCTGGAGATCCCGCGGCCGGGGATCGCCGCCACCGGCGCCTCCATGTGTCTGTACTACCTGGCCTACAGCGAGGACGCCATGGAGCGGATCTGCCAGCTGCCCGAGCGGGTCATCACCAAACTAGTCAGGTGAGCGTCACTCCCCAGCTGCCCGGGCGGGTCATCACCAAACTAGTTCGGTATCACCCCCCGGCTGCCCGAGCGGGTCATCACCAAACTAGTCAGGTGAGTATCACCCCCAGCCGCCCGAGCGAAACTAGTCCAGCGAGTATCACTCCCAGCTGCCCGAGCGGGTCATCACTAAACTAGTGCAGCAAGCGTCATCACCAGCCACCCAGCTAACAGCGATGACGCTCAGGGCAGAGCGGGCAGCAACGGACAGGAACACCAGCGGCAGTGACCGAGCTCGGGTCAGGACCAGGCGAGCGCGTGGGCTTTGTCACATTACCTGGCCAGCCGTCAGCCCGCCTGCGCCTGCGCTCGGTGTCCCGCCGTCTCCCGTTCCCTGTATTTCTGGGAGGCCGAGTGGCCCGCCCAGCGGAGTCTGTCACGTCCGCGCGACCGACCGAGCTCGGTCCCGACGCACCGGCTCGCCGCCGTGTGTCGGCCGCGTCCGTCTGGGCCCGGCCGTCCGGCCTCGGCACCGCCGCCCCAGCCGTGGCGGTGACCCCCCCCCCCCCCGCCATGTCGCAGGTACGCGCTCTGGCTGCTGGAGTGCTCGCACGAGTCGGGCCGCTGCCACGCCACCATGTGCTTCGGTCTCAACTTCCAGTTCCGGCCGATCCTGGAGCAGTTTGACCGGCAGGACGGCCTCCGCAAGCTGCTGAACGTGGTGAGTGGCGCGCCAAGCACGCGCTGGGGGCGGGGGCAGGGGTCGGAGGCTCGGTCGGCCGTCGCGCTGATCTGCCTGGTGGAGTCCCTGATGTCTGCGTCAGTGACGCACGTCTGTGGCAAGCTTAACGAAGCGAGAGGTTTTGTTTGTAACTGTTCGCTGTCCAGTGTTTCGGACTAGATCGTATGCAACATAGGCGACCAGAATCTAGTGTCTGATAATATGTTGTTGTCTTAAGCAGAGTATGACAACGCATTTTTATGCAGCGGTTGGTATTGACATTTGTGCAGCATTGAACACAAATGCTTTCAGTACGGATGTTGGCTATTTTGGGCGATAAGTATGGCTCTGTCGGGTATCGTGTGATCTTTGTAGTTACCTGTCTTGTCGTGTTCATGGCTTGCCGTGTTGTCGTATTGTGACGTGCTCGTCGAACCACTTCGTTCTCACTGTGCTGCGAGAACACGCGGCTATCCGCATGGCTCTGGTGCCGCCGGGTCACCGCCCGGAGCACTCCCGGACGGTCTGCCCTCCCTGACCTCGCCCCGCTCCGCCCGCAGGTGGGCACGCTGCGCATGATCACCACGGGCAACGTGGACACGTTCGACGAGAACGACGACGAGTTCACGGCGCGCCAGACCATGCGGCACGTGTGCTTTACGCTGAAGTGCTACCTGGAAGCGCAGCTGGTGATGAAGGCCGACGAGCTGAAGCACGGCTCCGTGCAGGAGCGCTCGCCGCCGCTCGCCGCCGGACACCTGGTGAGTGGGGGCAGCGCCGGGAGGACGGCCGGCTGTGAGTCGGTGCCGGGCAGGCGGCGTGGCTCGCCACCGCTCGCCGCTGGGCACCTGGTGGGTGGGAGGTGAGTGGGGGCAGCGCCAGGGGGGACGGCCGGCTGTGAGCCGGTGCCGGCCAGGCGGTGCGGGGGATGTCGGTCAAGGTCATGCAATTGACAGCAAACGCTTGTTTGAGTGTTGAAGTGTTTGTCTGGAACTAGGCTTCACGACGTTTATTATATTATATACTATCACGACGTATATTATAACTGGTTGAGTCAATGGCTTCCAAAGCTGTGTGGTGCTGATCATCATAGCCGTGCTTGCTTTGCCGTACCGGATTATTAAGTCAGAGCCGATGCCACTGCAAGTCGTGCCTCCGTCTAGACGTTCCTGACGCCCGCAGAGCCTGAAGGTAACACCGGAGGCCGTGCAGGAGAACATGGAGACGATGATGATGCTGATGCCGCTCCGGGCGCGCTGGAGGCCGGTCAACACGCTCTACAAGCTGGGCGGCATCAAGACTCTGCTACAGATCATCGACATCAGCCAGGACATCAACTACTCGGGAAAAAGTTAGTGCAGGTTTTCTGTTGGTGCTGATCGATTAGCGGGGATGTTCTGGCCACATACAAGGATGGCGCCTGGCGATGTGACATTTCCCCGGCGTTTACGTTTGGATGACTCCCGTGTTTAATGATTGGTGTTTAATATGTCGGGCGCCCACACCTGTACACGGTTTTGTTTTGCTAACGCTTCTGACTAGCCATGTCTTTGACTTTCGTGTGCCCATGTTCGTCGGTGGCCATCGTCTGTATCCATCTAAATATTGGTTTAGGTGCATCTCACTGCAGTGTTTCACCGTGCCGCATCTCTGATCGGCCCAATGTCATCCCATTTGCGTGTCTCCCTTTGCTAGTCTGTCCGCATCCTCCCCCTGCCGTGCCGTGCCTCCGACCAGCCCACGTCCTCCCCCTGTCGTGCCGTGCCTCTGGCCGGCCCACGTCCTCCCCCTGTCGTGCCGTGCCTCTGACCGGCCCACGTCCTCCCCCTGTCGTGCCGTACCTCGGACCGGCCCACGTCTTCCCCCTGTCGTGCCGTGCCTGTGACCGGTCCACCTGACTATGCCGCATCCCACGTCTGACCGGCCGGTGTGCGCGGCGGCCGCCAGGCGAGACGATCCGCTCGGCGCTGGACGCCATCAACATCTGCGCGGTGCTGCCGGCCGTGCAGCTGCAGCTGGCCGAGCGGCACGCCTTCCCCGGCGGCCGCTCGCTGGTCGGCGTCGGCCTCGTGGTGGCCATGGCCGAGATGGAGAACATGGGCGATCCGGAGGTGCAGAAGTCGGCCATCCGCGTCATCATCACCTGCGTCTGCGGTCCGCTGCACCGGGTACGAGCGGCGCTGCGGCTGGCGAAGAGGCACTCCCACCCTGCCCTGGTCAGGGGCGGCTGTTTGTCTATGGGACGGGGTGTAAATAGACGGTGGAGTGGGGTAGGAAAGGCGACGTCTGCCATCTTTGATCATTTCAGGCCGAAACTAGACGCGTGTGGCAATCAATGCAGCGTTAGGAAGTGACACACTCCGTACTGAGGTGACTGTCCCTCGTGGCTAAAGGCGCTAAAGACGGCCGGTGTCCTTATTTTATGTAAAGCCGGCTGTTTTGGCCGACACCCCGTGGCGAGCGGAGCCCCGGAAAACCCACGTGCCAGTGAGGCGGCTCGTGACCTCTTCTTCAGCCATAAGATGCCTGTTTGCCCACCCCGCATCCAACGTCAGCAGGACGCGTCGCCGAGTCGCCTTCCTGCCTCAGCGACGGTGCCCGCTGTTGTTACCTCCCCGCGGTCCTGCGGCCCTGGGACCGCAGCCCAGCATGACCCCGTCTGTCGCTTGCCGCAGCCGGGCTCGGCGTCCTCCGCACTGTCGGCGCCCTCCAGCGCCAAGAAGCGCGCGCTGCGCCCCTACGACGACCTGCTGCCCATCATGTGGGAGTCGGTGCGCACCAACAACGGCATCATGGCGCTGATGGCGCTGCTGCAGGCCAAGCAGCCCATCACGGACGCCGACTCTGTGCGCGCGCTGGCGTGTCGCGCGCTGGTGGGCTTGGCGCGCAGCGAGGCCGCCCGCCAGATCATGTCTAAGCTGCCGCTCTTCACCACCAGCCAGCTGCAGAGTGAGTGGTGCCGGCGCGCCACCCGGGCGCCGGCTGCGGAGACTGCGAGCCTGCGACCTGTGGCGAACGTGAGGGGTCGGCTGAGGTCGAACGAACGGACGCCGGTGATATCTCTGTCTTCTTCCGTTTTCGCGCTCGGTCTGTGTACGGAAGACCTTGCCCCTCACGTGACGTGCCGCGCACGTCAGTGGGTCGTGGCGGCTGCTCTTCCTGTACTACGCCATTTCTTTTGGTCGCTCCGTGTAACGTGGTGTTGACCCACTTCACGTCGTGAAGGATGTGCTATCTTTTGGTTGCATTCCTCATGCGCAGCAGCAGCAACAAGTGACGTGTTTTCAAAGCGTAGTCGCCTCAGATCCATCGCTTCCGTCGGCTCGCGCGCCCACCTGCAGGGCGCGCGCCTGCGCTGGACGGCGGCGTTACCCGCTGGCGCGCGCGTCCTAACACGCCTGTTCGGCGGGCGGCAGTGGTCATCCGGGAGCCGATACTGCAGGAGAAGCGCGCCGAGCACGTGCAGCTGCAGCGGGACGCGCTCGAGCTCGTCGAGCTCGTCTCGGGCAAGTCGAAGCGTCTGCCGGGCGCCGACACCGACATCACCATGGACACCATCCACCGCGCCAACGTGGTGGCGCAGACGCGCATCCACTACAACGAGAAGCAGCTGCTGCAGCTGATCCATCACCACCTCGTCAGCAAGGTGCGTCGCGTGGCGCCCGCGAGAGAGCGGGCCGCTTGGTGTCCGAGGGGATGGACGGTAGCCGTGTGACGCGGGCGGAGGCGTGGCCGTGTCTCGTACCTGGCTGCTTGATGCCAGCGTTGGTGACGCTGTCCGCGGGGTTGGACCGGTAGCCGTGTGGCGTGGGCGGAGGCGTGGCCGTGTCTCGTGCATGGCTGCCTGGTGCCAGTGTTGGTGACGCTGTCCGCGGGGTTGGACCGGTAACCGTGTGGCGTGGGCGGAGGCGTGGCCGTGTCTCGTACCTGGCTGCCTGGTGCCAGTGTTGGTGACGCTGCCCCCTATGCCCGTTGGTCGTTGGATCATCCAGGCGTGCGGGCGATGGTGATTGGAGCGTGTGTGCGGCCGTGTCGGGATGTGATGGGGCTGCGGTGGAAGCGTTTTGAAACGGCGAACCTGGAGGACGCGCTCTCCGAGTGTGGGGTGTATCAGTGATGGCGGAGATGTTCATTGCAGCCTCTCCTCCTGGAGGGAGGTGACTCCCATGTCAAGGGAGGATTGGTGTCCCCGGGATGCTGATCCTGTTCAGCTGTATTCAGGGAAGTGTTCTGCAGGCCTGCTCAGTCGCTGATGGTACGCATGAGATGGTGGGTATAACGGAAGCTAGTCAGTGTTGAGTCCCGGGCGCTTGGTTTTGCTCCGATACATCGCAGGACGGCACTGAAAACCCGCTGGCTGCCTGTGTCAGAACAGCTGTTATGTGTGTACACTGACTGGCCAGGCGGAGCATGTTGTCCTGACTGGAGCTGGTGCTTCTGCAGGGGATGCAGGAGACGGCGATGGTGCTGCAGATGGAGGCCGGCCTGCCTGTGAGCGCGCCGAAGACGCCGCACGCGATCCACCCGGTGGCGGCGCTGCGGATGGCCAGCACGCTGCCCGCCACGCCGCGCCAGGTGAGAGCAGAGTGGCCGCCGCCGCCGGCCGGCCGGCGCGCGCCGCGGCGCCGTCTACGTTAGGAGCACGTTGTGCCCATACAGTTCAAGTGGTGTTATGGCAGGCAGCTGTGTTGTTTTCCAGGACGCCCCTTTCCTCTCAGTGGTTGCTCAAAATAGATGTCGCCGCGCAGCCGTACGCTGCTGAACGGCGCTGCCCGTCTGCTAGCGCCTGCGTGTGTGCCTGCGTCTCTTTTGGCATCAGCGTGCGCAACTGAGTTGAATGGTACGTTCTTGTATTGCGTTATCTTAACGTAAAAATGGGCTGTGCAGGTCAGACATGGCCCCTGTCAGACTCTTTTCTAATCCGTGTCGTCGGCGCGCTGCCCCCCCCCCTCCCCCCCCGCTGATGGCCCCGCTGTGTGTCCAGGGCCGGACGCCGAGCTGGCGCCCCCCCCCCCTCCCCTCCTCCTCCCACTGATGACCCCGCTGTGTGTGTCCAGGGCCGAACGCAGAGCGCCGGCAGCCGTATATCGGCCACAGGCGACGGTCTGGCGCCGACACCGCACCGGCAGCCGCCCACCACGCCGGCGGCCCGGGGCGCGCCCCCGCCCGGCGGCGGCAGCGGCGGTACGCCACACACCCAGCCGCTCCACATCCGCGTCAGTCACACCAGGTGAGGCGGCCGACGGCCGATCAGTGCTGCACCAGGTGGGCGAGTTGGTCTGTGACCAGTGTTATACCAGGTGCGGGAGTTGGTCAGTAACCAGTGCTACACCAGGTGCGGGAGTTGGTCAGTCACCAGCGCTACACCAGGTGCAAGGATTGGTCTGTGGCCACTGTTACACCAGGTGCGGGAGTTGGTCAGTAAACAGCGCTACACCAGGTGCAAGGATTGGTCTGTGGCCAGTGTTACACCAGGTGCGGGAGTTGGTCAGTAACCAGTGCTACACCAGGCGCGGGGTTGGTCTGTGGCCAGTGTTACACCAGGTGCGGGAGTTGGTCAGTAACCAGTGCTACACCAGGTGCGGGGGTTGGTCTGTGGCCAGTGTTACACCAGGCGCGGGAGTTGGTCAGTAACCAGTGCTACACCAGGTACGGGGTTGGTCAGTCACCATTGGTACGATGGGTGCAAGGGACTTAGTGATCCATATGCGACAAGAAGACTGGTCACGGATGTTACCCCGTTGTCGGCTTCACGTTGTGTACGTGCGTGTGGTTCCGCGCAGCATCCTGCCGGCATCTGGCGACCTGTGGGCCGCCGGATACCGCGTCCCATGTCCTGACGTCGGCCCAGCCGGTGACGCGGCGCGCCTCCGCCGGCAGGGGACCGCGCGCCGAGGCCGCTCTCTCGCCCGTTGCCACGTCGCACGGCCGCGCCATGCGGCAGAAGTCGAGCGCCGACCCGGCGCTCTTCAAGCTGGAGCGGCCGTGCGCCGCCGCCGCCACCGACCCCATCACGCTGGACCGCGTCGTCACCGAGTATCTGATGAACCAGCACGCGCTCTGCCGCAACCCGATGGTCACGTGTCCGCAGTTCGACCTGTTTGAGCCGCACCGGTGCCCCGAGCTCAAGTCGAAGCACTCGGCGCCGGCCAACCTGGCGCAGCGGCTGACGCGGCGCGCCGTGTTCCCGCCGCACGGCGGGCCCGACGGCCGCCGGCTGGACACGCGCCTCATCTACAGCCGGTACTGCCCGGTGCGCACCTTCCGCGAGCTCACCGACGACGACGCCACCATGTTCACGTGCGCCACGTTCACGCCCGAGGACATGAAGTACATGATGATCGGCACGCACGACGGCACGGTGAAGGCCTTCAACCTGGACTCGGGCGAGGTGGAGGAGACGTATACGTCCCTGCACGCGTCCAGCATCACGCAGCTGGAGGTGAACCGGTCCGGTAACCACATGCTGACCTCGTCTCGCCGCCGCCGACCACTCTCCGCCCTCTGGAGGATCGAGAACGTGTTCGAGAGCATGTGAGTGCGGCGGGAGGAGGGGTTCGCAGCCACATGTTGTCAGGGGTTTGTGGGTTTCCCGTAGTTGTAGTCATGGTTGGGGTTGGTTGCGGTTTTCAAGTCTGTGACGTCAAAGTCCTCGCGTGTCAGTCTGTGGTTTCTGTGAGGTGCTTGGGCCCGTCGAACCTGAGCAGAAGGCAGTAATATTTTGTTAAGGTGTCGCTGTTGTTTGTTGGTCATATTCGCTGCTCTGCCACTGAAGACTTTTCGGCAAAATATCGACCATTGGTGCGAAATCCGTTGAGCTCTCGGGACATATGTAGCGGAGGATGCGTTACGTATATTTCGGCCGATTATACGGCTCGGCGTCGACCCTGGCGGCCGGCCGCCTCCTCTTGTGGGACGGATGGTGACCAGCCTCCGCCTCCTTACGCAGGGTCAGCTTCCCCGAGGACGAGTACGTCGAGTTCAGCAAGCTGACGCAGACGCAGGTGCTGGGCACGCAGCGCGCCACCGGCACCAACAACTTCACCGCCAACCTGTACGACATCGCCACCGGCCAGCGCGTCAGTCAGCTGGTGCCGCGCGACGGCAATGGCTACCAGGCCAACCGCGCCACGTTCGACCCCACCGACGAGCTCGTGCTCAACAACGGCGTGCTGTTCGACGTGCGTGCGCCGCGCGAGGTGCACAAATTCGACAAGTTCAACAACACCATCAACGGCGTGTTCCACCCGAACGGACTGGAGATCGTGGCCAACACGGAGGTGTGGGATATGCGGACGTTCCACCTGCTGCGCACGGTGCCGGCGCTGCAGCACTGTCGCGTGCGGTTCGCCAACGGCGGCCAGGTCCTGTTCGGGGTGCGGCTGTCGGGTAGTGATCGCGACCAGGACGAGCGCGCCTACGAGGAGGCCACCGCCTTCAAGGTGATCGACTCGGCCGACTACACCAGCATCGGTGAGTGAAGCCCGCTCCCGGGCGGGGCTGACGAGCGGCCGCGGTGTGGGGGTGCGCTCACAGTCGGGGTCTTGTCGGGTGGGCTCGCCCTGTGATGTCATGGTGTGGTGTGGTAGAGTGTTATGGTGTGTTTCGCTGTTTTCCTTTCGTGGGAGGTGTCCGTGGCTGATTGGGTACATTATGTCTTCCCTTTTGTTCCGAAGCACGCTTTGTAGGTGTCGTTTAAATGGATTATTCCACATTTGAAAGCACTGAGACAAGCATCAGACACGGTGGAAAGGCTCACTTGTAAATAATGGTACGATTTAAAGCACAGAATGCTGCTCTAAGTAACACAAACATACCATTTAGTTCATATGCTTTTCAATACGTCTCCGTTTGATTACGTCATGGGACACTTACGACGTCAAAGTTGTCAGACCGGTGGTGTCGGAATTGCCATTAGCGGACGGCTTGACACGTTTGAGATACCTCAACGCTTCGCAAGGTGGCGTTGATGGAGTGCGTGTGCGTGTGCGTGTGCGTGAATTTATGTCACGGGTGTTGTGCGCGTGTGTTTTGGCTTTTTCTCATGGTGCTAGTTTCTATTTTTCCGTGGTGACTTTTTTGTCTTGCTTTTTCATTTAACGTTACGGTGCTATTATTAAGGCATTCAGCTGTCAGACGCATGCCCGTCAAAACCAGTAGTTGTCTAAATGCTGGTGTTATTTTATTACAAAACACGCTTCGCTCGGCGATTGCCCCCTTCCCCCTCGCCCCAAGGCATACAGTCCTGTCCCACTGTTATCCATCCTCGTTCATTCCATAGCCCTGAAATGATCACTTCTGGTCAAAAGGGCTCAAATCCCAACAACCAAGCGATCGAGACATGCTATCATCGTTTCAACTGGAATGTCAGACAGTTGCGTTCAGCCGTTTGGGACACGTGGCGCTGCATCTCTGTCAGCAGGAATACCTCAGTGGCCGTATTGTATTGATCATGGGTCCTACGCAGTCGTGGATGTGGGACATGCGCTAGGCGTTTCTACGTCACACATGTCTGGGTGACTTTCATATAGGTGGCGCGAAACATGCTGCAGAGGTTCTCGTGCGTCGAGCTAAGAAATAAGCGGGTTTGAGGTTTTGATAAGGGTATGGCTGTGAACTGCAGGGAATGATCTTGAAAATGACTGTTTCAGTTCAAAACCCCATACAAATGTAGAACACTCCCTTTCGCTTCGGTTCATGTATACAGAATGTTGCGATGCATGGCGCGTAGTGTTCAGATAAGCGCTGGATGCTTAGACGGGTGTTAAATATCTTCATGCTAGTGCGTCAACTACGTGACCAGTTTGGCTTGCCTTCCGGCGCTGGCTTCAAGTCTCGATCATCCACCGACAAAGCATGCTCCTGGAGTTTTTCGATACAGTCAGTTAATAACAGGATGAAGTCGACATCACATCCCAGAAGCCGCCAACTAGAAATGATGAATCCCCAGGTCATCGCATTTCCATGGGAATTTGCCTCAGGAAGTGTATGCGCCAGTCCCGTCCTTAACGGCGTCCTCCCATCCGCCTGCCGTCCCCTGCGGTGTTGACGGCGGCCCGTGCTCTGGCTGTGTCTAGGAATGCTCAGAGCCTGTCACCGTAAGCCTCATGTCGCTCTCAGAGAACGCCCGACACTTTACACCAAGCAACGGACACCGGTATTGTGAGTTCAGAGTTCGCATGCTGAGTTATCGGCCTTCGATGTACGGGGAGGCATTGGTTCAACGACGTTATGGAGCAAACATGAGTTATGTCGTCAAAACGGGACGTTTCAAACTGTGGCTATGCTTATGACTGAGCAAAGGTGAGCAAGGTTAAACGAAAACTTACGCTGAACACCAAGACACATGATCCAGAAGATGTTCCGAGTCTGTGCGGACGCTGTCATTAAAAGATGTTAAGGTAATCCATATTCTGAGCCTCAGCGCGCAGACTCTTGACATCCGGCTCCACGCTACAGACTGCTTGCGACACAGGCGGCCAAGCCGGAAGGTTACGGCGGACTTTGCCGAGTATTAGATTAGAAAATAAGTTACCACGAACATTAGCTACCACGACCAATGCACGAACCCCACGAACATCCCCGCGAGTCGGGCTGTCACGTCACAGCACCCAACAGATGGCACCTCTGGGGGCTGTCCGATACAAAGGAAGTCGAAAGTTTTTGATGACCTGTGCTGAGTAGCAGGATAGAAAAAACAATAGCCAGTGGGCATCGGTGTTCATCACATCGAATGTAGACCGATTTCTGCCTGTGCATAACGTAAACAATGCTACTGAAACCAGGTCCCATGATACCGGTTTTGCGTTCAGCTTCGGATGAAGGTTACAATTCTACAGCGAATCTAAGATCTTGAGGTCCGCGTGGGCCTTGCTTCTTGCTGAAATTCACACGTTAAAGTTGGTATTTGGAGCGCCATGCCCATTGCTGCATGTCGTCCTACCACGAGTTTCGCTAGTGGTGCGTACGCGCTCCGTAAACGCGCATCTCCGTGGTGTTCATGAAGTCGATCACGAATGCCGCGCTTTTTTTCCTACGTAAGATATCCCTGGGCAGAGGTTACAAAAGGTCTGGTGTACTACGGCCTCCCATGTGCAGTTACTTTCCAGCCCACGAATTCTTGGGAATTGGAACTGTCAAGAAAGGACCCTCGTGACGTCACAACCAATGAACGCGCCGCTTGGCTTCCTATTCGGTCAGCTGACCGTGTTTTAGTGTTGTTGTTTTTTAGTGTGACCGTGTTTTAGTGCACACTTCCTGTCGTAATGCTTGCTGGCCGCCGGCAGCGCGATGCTTGCTGGCAGCGCGATGCACTCGAGACATGTGCCAGTTAGCTGAGACAGGAATACGCGCGCAACCAGCAACTGTATTTCCAAAATGTACTTGTGTTCTGTAAATAACGCCCCCAAAATTGTATTGCGGCTCTGTCCACCTGTGAACTCATTTCGCCAAGCGCGATCTCAGTGACGTGGCAAGAACACCCTGGTACCTCTTGCGTGCCCATGTGTGGTTCTGGTGGGTGTTCCACTCCCGTCATTCGGTGCTCTCGTGTCCATGGCGTACTTCAGCTCCGAGGAACAGCTGCCGTTTATCTCTCGCATTGCTATAGCATGGTAATCGCGGCTGTGGGCTCTAACGATTTGGTGACCATGAGCTGATCCCATTCGCAACCCCAAAGGCGGCGTCGCCATGTCGGGCCGCTCACCACATGATCCCCCCCCCCCCCCCCTCCCCTGCTGGCGTGTGACCGGTGCGCCCTCTCCGCCGGCAGCCACCGTGGACGTCAAGCGCCAGCTGTACGACCTGTGCGTCAACTTCGACGACCGGCTGCTGGCCCTGGTGGAGTCGCAGCTGGAGATGGGCGACGTCGAGCTGGACCAGTCGTGCGTGCGGCTGTACGAGGTCGGCCGGGTGCGCGGCGACGAGGACATGGTACGGCCGGCGCCCGCGCGCCAGCGGACGTCCGCGCGGCCGCCCCGCGGCCGCCCGCCGCCTGCCTCGCTGCTGCGTCCGTTCCCCGTCGCCTGTTCCGTGTTGCTCATGCAATTTCTGGTAGCGTGTCCTCTCACGTCCGCTCGTGCTATCTCATTCTGGACGTGACACTGTGTGCTACCCCGTTCAATTTGACAGTGCTGGCGACGTACGTCGGCTGGCGTGCAGCCAGCCGGCTGAGTGACTGGTCCTCGCCAGAATCCCGCCCGACAGGCGCTCTCGCCGCTGATTGGTCGGTTCGCGCTCCGCGGTGGGCGTGTGCTCGTACGTTGACGCCGATTGGCCGGTTCACAGGACGACCAGGAGGAGGAGGACAACGTCGACGACACGGACGGCTCCGACATGTCGGACAACGTCGCGAGCGGTACGAGCGCGGACACCAGTCCCGAGCGCAGCACCGTGATGGTTCCACCCCCTGCGCCGTATGCCCATCAACCAGGCACCGGCCATTGACTTTCCACCATTTAGTCGGGCGGATGGGACACGGCCTGTGGTGCAGGCTGGGGCTCGGCAGACGGGACCGAGGAGGCGTTCCTCGCGCAGCTCCCTCAAATTGCTAAAGTGTGCCAGAGTTGTTTCCACGGAGTAGCTACCGGTACAGCGTATCTGCACGAGTTCTGGGGTTGGGTCGGCACCGGCCTTCATCGCCCTCAGTTTTGGCGGACGGGTCCCTGCTGGCACCGACCGAGTGCTGACTTGCACCGGTGCGCTCACCGGCCGGGCGGCACCACCGCTCTGATTCAGTACCCCTCGACGGCACCTGCGCACCGATATGTTGCAGCTGCAGACAACGCAGCATGCCGCCGCGCCCTCGCAGTGTCGACCACGGTCGGTGCACTGTCAGCCGACGTGTCGGACGGCAGCTGTGCAACGGGCTTATCTCATCAGCCGTGTTTTTTCCGTTGCAGACATTGCCAGCTTCTTCAGCCTCGGCCGTCGGCGAAATGGAAACGCCAACGGAGGTACGTTGTTTTGGGTTTCATGTGGGCGTTCTGTCCTATGTTGGTGCGCTGTTCGCGCCGTTTGCACCCAGCGTTTTCGGAGAGGCGCGCAGTGAAAGCTCCTGGCGTCAACCTGGTCATGTTTGGTTTCCGGGGATCTAGCTTACTTAGTCGCCAGCACTTTGCTTAATTTCTGGTCGACTCTTTTACCTGCAGCATGTCGTTGACTGGGTGTGAAGTCCATGTTTTATGACATTCCCGTGTTGAGTCCTTGTGAATAACCACGTTCCGGTTTTTGACGCGTCGCTTGTATGCGTAATGTCCACCCGCCGTGTACTGGGCCGGAAACGTGTCCGCCTTTCGCCATGCCGTCCGCGTAACTTCCGCTGAAGGCGGACACAGCCGGCCGGGCAGGACGCGTGACCGTCTGTTATGTCTGGCCGGCCTGCGCTCCGTCGGACCGTAGTGGCGTCCGACCATGACACGCTGTCGGCTCGCCCGTCCGCCGCGCTCGCCGCCCCGTCCCCCGCGCGCCAGATTCGTACTGACCTTCCCCCGCGCGCCGGATGTGTACTGACCGTCCCCCGCGCGCCAGATGTGTCCTGACCGTCCCCCGCGCGTCGGATGTTTCCTGACCGTCCCCCGCGCGCCAGATGTGTTCTGACCGTCCCCCGCGCGCCGGATGTGTCCTGACCGTCCCCCGCGCGCCAGATGTGTCCTGACCGTCCCCCGCGCGCCAGATGTGTCCTGACCGTCCCCCGCGCGTCGGATGTTTCCTGACCGTCCCCCGCGCGCCAGATGTGTCCTGACCGTCCCCCGCGCGCCAGATGTGTCCTGACCGTCCCCCGCGCGCCAGATTCGTACTGACCTTCCCCCGCGCGTCGGATGTGTCCTGACCGTCCCCCGCGCGTCGGATGTTTCCTGACCGTCCCCCGCGCGCCGATGTGTTCTGACCGTCCCCCGCGCCGATGTTTCCTGACCGTCCCCCGCGCGCAGATGTGTCCTGACCGTCCCCGCGCGCCAGATGTCCTGACCGTCCCCCGCGCGCGGATGTGTCCTGACCGTCCCCCGCGCCCAGATGTGTCCTGACCGTCCCCCGCGCGCGGATGTTCCGACCTCCCCCGCGCGCGATGTCCTGACCGTCCCCCGCGCGCCAGATGGTCCTGACCGTCCCCCGCGCGCCGATGTGTCTGACCGTCCCCCGCGCGCCAGATGGTTCCCTGACCGTCCCCCGCGCGCCGGATGTGTCCTGACCGTCCCCCGCGCGCCAGATGTGTCCTGACCGTCCCCCGCGCGCCGATGTGTCCTGACCGTCCCCCGCGCGCCAGATGTGTCTGACCGTCCCCCGCGCGCCGGATGTGTACTGACCGTCCCCCGCGCGCCAGATATGTGTACTGACCGTCCCCCGCGCGCCAGATGTGTTCTGATCGTCTCCCGCGCGCCAGATGTGTCCGACTCGGACATGACGTTCGTGGCCAGCGACAGTGACGTCTCGTCGCCCAGCCGGTCGGAGCGCAGCCAGTCCAGCGGCGCCGCCAACGACTCGAACGGCTCCTGGGTAACCGAGGAGGAACGGGAGGAGCACGACGGCGGAGGTGAGACGACACGCGCGTGTGCTGGCGCGGCGGCCGGCTGGAGGCCAGGAGGGCTGCTGGCGCGGGAGGCGGCCAGTCGTGTGGAACGGGCGGGGCGTGGAGAAGTGCGCGACGAGCCGTAGGCGGGGCCTCCAACCTGGGTTGGCATTGCAGTCAGCTGAAACTAGTTGTTATCCGTTTCTGGTCTTGCCGGTTAAAACCGGCACAAACTGGCGGAAACTCCGAAGTTTGCTATGTTTGTAGTTTTCCGTTATATCACCATTACATTTGTAACGTTTCCGTTTTTTGTCCAAGCCCCAGATACAGCACGACCAAAATATGTCATGAATCTGCCATAGTTGACACATCACCAGTATTTCACACGTTTGGATATGTTTGCTAAACACGTTTTATTATGGATGACTGTCCTTCTCCAACCAGTTGCGCTGCTGCCAGTTGGATGTGTGGACACATTATCCAGCATAGCATACAGGCACCCCCATCCACATGCACGCACACACACGCACACGTGCATCCAGAAATATATATATATATATATATATATATATATATATATATATATATGTATATATATATGCGCAAATTATCTTGAAATTGAATTGAGGGCCATCAAATCAGTTTCAAGTCAAAAGAGACCGTCGGGTGCTTGGGATTTTAAATGTACTCGCATGCCATACACTGTTCTGCTTGATTGCTGCCTGTGTGGCGTGCATGTCGGCTCGGAGGCAGCACCCCCGGCTCCCTACGGTATACAGGGGTGCGAAGGCCACATTGAACAATTCTGTTCACATGATGATGGATCCAAGAAGGCTTGGGCAACGAGGCCTGGGCCATGGGACCCTGAGATGCCGGAAACAACGTTCTTTACTAGCTTCGCCGTGAGTTGGCGTAGAAAATTCGTTTTGGGCCTCCCACAATGGACGCTAGATGGGTCTGTATGTTTCAACAGCGGTTTTTTCGCCTGCTCGATAGAGTATTCGTGGTAGGCGGTACTTTGGCCTTTCGGTAGACAACACGGAATTGTCTCCAGTCAGCGTCAGTCTTGCTGTCGCATTTTTGGAACGGTGGCAGCACCCTAGATGAGATAACTACACTGTGTTTGTAATGGTGGCGTATTATACAGTTCAGTTAGGAGGTGAAAAAAACGTTAGCAAGTTCTGCTGGTTTTGCCCCCAGCTTATTTTAACTGGCACAGTTTGTAACCATATGGTAGAATCTCTCAGCCCTTTGCTGTCATGGGGCAACCCAGTTTAGAAGATCTTGTCACAGGAATGTGATAAGAGGATGCTATCGTTTTGCCTCTGGACTGATCCAGAAATGTAATCTAGCTGAGACGCGCTTCGCCGGCGATATTTTGCCATCGCCTGGCTGGTGTGGACACCAATGCATGTCGTCTGGTGATTGGTCACCTATCCCACATACGCTGCATCTTCCCAACAATTCCTGTCGTCTTGCAATTTCTGTCAGCAATCGCGTAGTCATACAAGCCGTGTTAGTGCTCAATATCCTTGCTCACAATAACGACGATTTTTGCTGTTTTTGCTGTTTCACGTCACTCCATCGGCTTACAGCATGCTCTTACATGCGTGAGTGTTATAGTTTTTGCAGTGTTTGTGACCAGTTCTTTCTGCCAGCCGGTTTCAATCGATAAAAAACGGTTCAGAAGCGCCTCGAGACGGCTGATGCCATCCCAGCCCCCGACCACGACGCGTCTGCCGAATAACAGCCGTGCGATGGATAGGAGAGGGGAAACGAGTGTCACGCTCTGGCAGCACTGTGTTGCCGCTGCAAGAAGGTTCACGACTGACAGGTGTTAGCTGTAAACACGTCACCAATGCGCAGTAACAACAGCAGGCGACGCCGTAGGCGCGTAGACGATCCGTCAATGTAACAGGTGAACGACATTCGTATGGATGTCGTCGTCGGCATACCCAGGGCAGGGTGCGCAATTGTGCGCCGTCCCAATGCGGCGGCCTGTGATCGTCACCGCCTCTGTCGCTTACAGCAGCACGTCTCTCGTTTCAGATCAGTGGGAGTCGTGGTGACGCTCCGTCTCGCCCGGCTGGCCCAGCGGCCAGCTTCCGTCTCTCAACTCCAAGGCAAAAGTCGGCCGACCGGGGCCATATTGCGCTGCCGCCCGCCGCCGCGTTTTTACATTTCCAGTCCTACCGCGCCGAGGAGCGACGCTTGATCCTGTGGGGTAGATCTGGAATGAAGTGGTGCGATGTTGTGATGGGTTTGTCCTTGCTGCCATCTTTACAGTGGGCAGAGTGATTCAATAAACCACTGTCTGTTTACGTGCGTCGCCCACCACGAGCCGACCGGCCAGCGTGGCGGGGCGATCCCGTCAAATGTACGCCCTCGTGGCGGCCGGCTCCGCTGCGGCGGCTGGGGCCGGAGGTGTGCGTCATTAGTGGCAGGCAGCGACGGAGGCATGACGGAGGCGCCCGCCTGGTGACTCCGTACCTAACCTGATGTAACGCCCCGGAACGCCAGGCTACAACGCCGGTTGGCACTAAACGACGCTTATTGAAATCAGCCGAGCGTCTCGCTGGTCTGAAGGGTCTGTATCATAATGTCCACAGGTCATAATGTCCGCGGTTCAAAATATTCATAACTCGTAATGTCCAGCTGCCGGGGCACTTTGATGACATATTTGAACTGTCATATACCATATTTTACTGACATTTTGACTGGTTATTTTGGCCCGACTGAGGCCTCAGTCTTAGACTTATCGGCTATTTTTGTTGCAAGTTAGCTAAACTTGCCTTGGATATAATTTTGCATTCTGTCCAGTTACGCTTGGGCTGCACAGGTACCTGGTTTGGAAACGTGCCGGTTGTACCGACTTATGTAGCGCTCGGGTGGTCGGCCAGATACCCTTCGCTCGGGTGGGGGTCAATTTGCCCCCCCCCCCCCTGAGATCTCGGCAACTAAGAAAGCTAGAGGCACCAAATTTACAGCTTGTCTTGATGTGAATGTGAACTCACTTAAGTCCAAGTTTGAGCTTCTAGATCATGATCTTCAGGTCAACTAAGGTCAAACAAGGTCAAATTCCAGGTTGGTCTCCAAAGTGCCCCAGAACCTAGGCAACTGTTTCTAAGCAAAAGGTCACAATCCCATTTGAGGTCAGTGACCTTGTTTGACCTTTGAAGGTCATGGCGACCAAAATTATACAAGACTGCTCTGAGTTTTGCATTTGAATAAGCGACAAAAATTACGCTAGGCAGTATGTTCCTAAAACAAAATGTCGACCCGGGTCATCTTAGGTCAATGACCTGTTCTGACCTCTAAAAAGTCAATGGAAGATGCATAGTGCGGTTCCTGCTGTCAATAAATTCGAAATGAGCACCACAAACTATCCCATACAGATCAGGCTGGTTTTGAACTTGGTTTGACCTTCATACCTGACCTTGGGTCAACGTAATTTGCTCATTCAATATTTGTGGTGCATAAGAAAGCATCTCGGAAATGCATGGCTTCGTCAAACACTCCCTTATTGTATCAGATTGGACGATTCCCTAGAAACTGCCGCTGAAACCATGGCCTGCCTGCCTTTGACCTGCCATAGGTTGGCGACGTTACAAGGTACATCTAATTTTTATGTCAAATGATCCGCAACATTTGGCGCGGCTACACCGCGTCGTTCGGAAATCATCCTGGAAAAACCTTCTGGGGGGTCAATTTGACCCCACCCGAGCGCGTGTTAATATAGCTGAACCTGACTGGGGACTTCATCCAGTGTATGAACCAACTGAAACGAGGAATGGAGAATGCAGTTCTTTGCGTGGCGAAATTGCCGCGCAGGCCATCCACCCATGTCGTTTATTTTGTGACCTCATCTGACAATAAAAAAACATTTCGCATGGCGCGAAACCTCATAATGTGGTCTGAACGTTGGATGGACCGAACTGGAACCGTTCGATGTGTTCAGCCCGCGCCCGTCCGGGGACGGGGGAACTGACTTCTGCCCTACGGTTTTTCAAGCCCTGCCCAAAGAGAAATGCTCGCAGCGGCATCAAATTTTCAATGCCTGTTCATCTATCAATTTGGCATCACTTGTGCATATATGAAGTTTTATATTCCAGGGCCACTGATCTATGTCAAGTCAAAGAGGTAAAAAACCTTTGCTAAAAACCTTTAACTAAAACTAAACTAAAACCTTTAACTAAAAACCTTTGCCACGCATAATCTTTTTGTGTGCATTTGTTGTTGCTCGAAATAGCCATAGTAACGGAACAATATAGTACCTATAGTTCGTTTAGTTTGCATATTTTCGAAACGGGCGAGGTCAGTGACCTGAGCTGAGCATTGTTATTTCTCGAAAATAACGCAGAGAGCGTGCGTAGTTTTTGTGGTTGTGGATATTTTATATGAGGAAAAGAAACTAACTTACATTCACAACCATCGTATAACCTACAGAGAACACGCTATTAGCTCAGATCATGACCTATCTCTATGAGTGCCTTCTGGAAAATGCGTGCTGAGCTCATAACAGGCAATTATAATAGGCATCTTTGGCGGAGAGTTGAACATGCCACTGAAAGCATATTGTGATATCATTCTTATGCATACCGGGGTCAAAAAAGGTCACTTAAAGACTCATTTCATAGAGTTTGTAGGTCATCCAAGGTCAACGGCCTCTATTGTCAGTAGCGCGCATACACACGCTATTTGGTGTCTATTTCATTTTTTAAGTTGTGGTGGAGGTTCTTAAGTTAAATCGCGAAAAATAAGTGCTGCGAAGACTTTCTATTACCATATCCATGGTAATAGAAATACAACAACATCTCGATACAACATTTGAGGGCCAGCTTGTACTGGCAACGGGTGGCCGGGCGGCGGGCCGGCCTGAGCCTCGACCGCGCTGCTGTGGTCGGGGATCTTGGAGAGATGTTGCGCCAAAGGCTGATGAGAAGGCACTGACTATTGCATCGGACAGGCTCGCAATTTATACAGGCCCACACGTGCCCACTCGCGGATCACTAACGCGTACATTCTGCGCACGTCTCCCTGGAAGACAATGGCGGGATGAATGCCCTCCGGTTGTTTCGGGGTGCATGTATGTTGGCACTTGGGGCCCGCACATGAAGACTATTGTGTTGCGTAATAGCCGCGGTTACGCAGCTCGCAACAGTCAATGCGTGGCCGCGTGACCGGCCGCCGCTGTAGTTGCAATTGTCCGGCAGATGTTCTCTCCGACTCGTCCGCTGAGCGAGGGTCGGGTCGCCCTCGGGGTGACCGGAGGCCGTGACCCGAGGCCGGCCCTGGCGTGTGCTTCCTTTGTATGACATGGGAGAGAAGGGCTCGGTCCCACACTGCTCAGCTAATTGCGATGTAACGCGGGATGTTCAGCGAGCGCGTGAAGGCGACCCTGTCGGTTTATTCGGAAACGGTCCTTACGCCGCTCTGCTGCTCGCGGGACGCGGGAACACGCGCCTGGTCGACTGTTGATCCACGCAACCCGCGCTTACGTGCTATTTTCAGCGACGGAAGTATCCAAACAAAGCTTCAGGGGAACAAGCATCTCAGCTTAGAAGTTGTTTTGAGGACGTCCGTCAATAATTTATGTACAGTACTGATCGCTGACCAGTATCTTTAACTCGTGTTGGTCGACAGAAACCAGGTTTTGAGGTGGAGGGGTAAGATCTTGCGGCCAGGTCGCAGTTGGTGGCGTGTTGCGTACATGTGCGTGTGCGCGCTGTCGGGATGTTCTTAGCCCTGACCCTGACATGGCCGCGTTCCGTTGACCAGCGGTAAAAATTGCGCGCCTGGCTCCCATCGACGCGATGACAAGTAAGTAGGCAAAACATTTCACAACCGTTGATGGTAATTTCCCCAATACACATTCATATTCCAACTGCTGCTTATGAAGACCCAAGTCTTGAACTACTGATGGAAATACAGCAAAATAGGTGGCTTTCATCACGGAAAACTACTGAGCCTTCCAGCGCTTCCTAAGCGCTTCCAGACAACGCCAAATTGGAAGTCAATCTTTCATCACCGCGGTCCTCGTGGACTGCACAGGGGCGTAAGTGAAAATGCTTTGTGTCCGTCACGAGTGGGCTCTTTACGCATGTCACTGTCACAAAATCATCAACGGCCAAAATTCGCTTTTTTAAAGGCATGAGACAACCTGCAAGGCCTAAATAGCGCTGCACGCGCGAAGATTAACATTGTGAATCTGGGCGCGCTCTCACAATAGTTGGGCTGCGAGGGCGAATGTGTGATCTACACATACGTACACACACACACACACACAGAGAGAGAGAGAGAGAGACGAGAGACAGAGAGAGAGAGAGAGAGAGACGAGGAGAGAGAGAGAGACGGAGTCGAACGATGAGAGAGAGTGCGCCGAACGAGGGAGAGGGAGGGAGAGAGAGGGAGAGAGAGATGGATGAGAGGAGAGAGAGGAGAGAGGGAGAGGGAGAGAGGAAGAGGAGAAGGAGAGAGAGAGAGCGAAGGAGCGAGAGAGAGAGAGGAGAGGGAGAGAGAGATATATGCGTTATATATATATAATAATTATATATATATTATATATATATATATATATATATATATATAGTGTAATGTGTGCAGACGCGTGCGAGCGTGTGTGTGTGCGTGCGAGCGTGCGTGTGTGAAACACCAAAACCTTGCGCGAAACCAAATTAACTGCTTGAGCAGGATACTTTACTGCCTAGCTAACCGTGTGAGCCAGCTAATAGCTGTGCTTTCAGGGTAGCGGATCGTCTTCGGTCTGGTTTGTCAAAGCTGCTCTTTTTCATTGCAGTTACCGTAGGCATGACGTCAACTTTGAGAAGCTGACTGAACCAGCGCGACATGTCTCTCCGTCCCTCCCCGCTTTCCCCATGACGTTGGCAGTCCATGATTGTAGGCCGGCGGTAGTCGGTTGGTTGCTGGCTGCAGTGAATTCGCACCATTCCCTGATGTCCTATCGCAGTCTCAGTTCGAGGGCAGCGCTGTCACACTACCGCCTCGCCGCCGTCCCATTGCGGTCCCACTTCGACCTGATAACGGTGTGCATTGCCACTGGGCACCGGTGCTCGCCACTCCACTGTGTCGCAGTTCCACTGCCGCCCCACCACGAGAATGCCGCCCGTTTCAGCCGTCAACTCATTAGTCGCCAGCGTGTGATCTCATTCACCATCCCGTTGGCTGTCCGGCGGCGTACGTGACAATGACATGAAGGTAGATCGCAGGGGCGGAGACGTCCAAGAGGAAGCAAAGCAGAAATCATCGGCAGGAAAAAACGTGATAGAAGAAGGCGGGAAAAGAACGGAACGAGTCGGCAGGCAAGAAAACCTTATCCAGGAGCGTTGCATGCAGGAAGGGACAGCGGATAGTCGAGAAATAGGCTATAGATAAGCTGTTGGCTATTGACTGATGCAGAGTTTTAGTTTAACTAATGAAGAAGTACGAAATGTGCTAACATTCAAAAGGTGTTAGGAATGTTATGCACCTGTGTAATGAGTGCAACAAACAACCAAAAGAAACTGACAATACCATGTCGGGTTTATCGTGGCAAACGGACATAAAATTTAACGGAGCATATGAAGCTGCTGTTGTAAGTGGCTATGATGCCAGGGAAAGTAAGTCTCGCGTATATTTCGGACTAGTTGCGTGAATAAACTTGGCCAGGTCTGCTCACGCGACCAAGCAAGCCATTAATGACGGAAATGCCGACACTCGCAAGCACATGCAACGCTTTTGGCGAGAGTAATGTCATCCTGACATCACGGAAGGAGCAAAGACCAATGTAGAGGGCCCCGGGGCGACCAGGAATGGCCGGCAGGCTGGCACATCGGACTCCTTACAGGCCTCCGGGCAAATGCGATGGGAAATCCAGAGCACCGTGGAAGACTGGCGATCGGAGCGCACCGGCAAGTAAACATATAGGGCCCCGGGCAACAGCATGGGGCACCATGGACAGCGTAATGAGCCCTAACCCCAACCATTACTCATTCAACCAGCGAAGAGCATGCTTTCTGTTCAAGGGGATTTCATTTGAGGACATTATGACCTGTGGACATCATGAACGCCCCCTCCCTCCTCCCCGTCCAAACTCGCTCGCCGACCGTCCCCAGTATACGCCAGACACCAGAGACATCTCTATATTAGCGCCTTCCAAGCACCTCATAACGGACACGAAGACATAGCACCTGCAGCCGTCCCAAACACTCATTCAGCGCACGGACCGGCACGACCGACGCCCAAAACCGAGACTAGATGGGCCACTTCCACTGGCTGGTGGGCGCCTGCTCCACCAGCGGCTCCCACGGCTTCCACTGCAGCATCTTCTTCGCCAGCACCAGCTCGTTCTCCGCCTGTACGATCAGCTCCTCACACTGGCCGCAGCCCAGCTTCTGCTCCACCATCACGGGGTCCTTCTCCTGGCCACGGACACGGCATCAGTCAGGGCGGCGGCGTATCGACGCGCGCGGTGCGCTGTCGGCGCTGCGCACGCGAGGTACCGCACGTGCGAACAGCGCCTCTAGCGGAATAGTGACTCGGTGTTTGGGGTGGACTCATCACTGTTCAAACGAACTTGGTGGCAGCTTTACGTCCCGTTAGTGACATGAATGTGAGCTCCGTTTCAGTAGGGCAAAATGCATGTATGTCTCCTTCGCCGCGCACAACCCCGTCACGGCGCTTCCCGTCGCCGGCATGCCTGGCCGCCCCGTGCCTCCCGCCGGACCCGCCGCTGGGGCCATACCTACCGCTGTAAGACAGCCTCTCGCCGGACCCGCCGCTGGGGCCATACCTAACGCCTACATGACAGCCTCTCGCCGGACCCGCCGCCAGAGCCTTACCTACCGCTACAAGACAGCCTGTCGCCGGACCCGCCGCTGGAGCCATACCTACCGCTGTTAGACAGCCTGTCGCCGGCCCCGCCGCCAGAGCCATACCTACCGCCTGCAGGACAGTCTCTCGCCCGACCCGCCGCCAGAGCCGTACCTACCGCCTGCAGGACAGTCTCTCGCTGGACCCGCCGCTGGGGCCATACCTACCGCTACAAGACAGCCTGTCGCCGGACCCGTCGCTGGGGCCATACCCACCGCCTGCAAGACAGCTTGTCGCTCCGCCACGATGGCCTCGGTGCTGCGCCGGTAGGCGGCCTCCTGCGGCATCCGCACCAGCACGCGCTGGATCTTCTCGTACAGCACCGTCAGCCGGTGGTGCGGGTTGTTCACCACGGCCAGCCCAGTCAGTCCAGTTGTCTGCCGCAGATGAGGAATACGCAAATATACGACGCGCGTGGCGGCGGCACGAAACGCCACGAAAAAGCCATGCAAAAACCACGCGCATGTATGGCAGGTGTAGTGGGAGGGCAGTGGTTCTACTGATGACACTACACTTGTAGCCGCCAATGATTTCTCATTTGCGTCGGGGAGGGGGGGCACCGAGAGAGATTTCGTACGCTCTTCTCCGTCCGTGATCATTGCGTGTTACGACCACTTCTACAGTCATGCTTTTGCACCAGCTTTAGCGCGCAAATGTATGCGGTCCTGGAATGTTGCGTACCTTTCTGTCCAGTGCGCACTGTGAAACATTTGGAACATAGAGGCCTGGCATGATAACGTCATTATGCAACATACTCGTCGTCCATTACTGTACTCCACGAAAGGCAATTTTGAGTGGCGATTCGAAGGACGATTTGACTAAATTTTCTGCTGTAATCATATCATGATGCAACAACATCATGTCCTAGATTATGTTCGTATATATGTATTTTGTTCGTAATGCGCTTTATACTGATTCATTCCAGAAACTTCTTAAAAATAATACAGTTCAGCGATTTAGTAGAACAACTGCAATTACAGATAAGATGCCATACATCAACTTTATTGTTAATTAATACCACTTGACCCAGACAATGATAATGACCTGACCTGCAAGTACGGTTTAAATTGCGAACAACGTGCAACACAATGTTTAAGACATTTTTGGGACGTAGCAAAAGATGAAGCGACGAAGAACATGGCAACATGGCATTTGACATTTGGCCCGGTGTGACATATTTTGGCTACGTGCTACGTTTAGTACATGACAATGAAAACTTTGCGTGCATTGCTTCATTTCATTTTCACGGGCACTAGATAACTGTAAGGAGTCACAAATGTGCCGCACCAGTCGAGCATGGCTCTTCAACGCGTACTACACAATACAGCATACGGCTCAAGGTGCATTTTGTCTACCTGAAGAGACCCCTATCATTCGTGCTTTCTTTTCAAGCTCGAAATATTCTTATTCCTGGTCGCGCAGAACCTGCGTAAATCTCCCCTACGGAGACACCAAGGCACAGCGCCACCAGATGGGTAAAGGGCAACCACCCTCATGTTGCTTGCCAAGGGGTTAAATATAGCCCCTGTCCGCCCCTCCCCGTCCGTTCTCCGCAATGTGAGGCATAACGCAAAGAAACCCATCGCTGAAGTCGTCAGGCTGGATTGTCTTATCATGACATCATAACATCATGACATCATATCATAACACCACTTTTCTGGCATCATGGATGCCTGGGTGACCCTGGAATAGTCTCCCCGAAAAAGTCTGGGCATCTTTCCTGGGCGTGTAGCTCAGAAACTTGAGGGATTTAGGTTTAAGGAAGGGCAGGGCTGCAGAACTGCACCAAATGATCTTTACAATGGTTATTTCAGTTTAAAGCCCCATATACATGCGGAACACCCCATCTACAGCAGGTGTTAAAAAGGAGCTGGTGACGTAGAGAGGGATCAGCCGAGCAGCGGTGTGCCACGTGCATTGCCGTTGCCTGGACCGTAAGGATCCAGCTCATGCTGCAGGCGCTTTTACCAATCTAAACACATCATGTCAGAGAACGTTTGGAAGCACTTGGCGCTGCACCATACACAGTGATGGTGCAGACCTGGCAGGAGTGTGTGAACTATGCAATCCTCAAACAGGAAGTCACTGGGATGCCTTCATTGTCACCATAATAAATGGCCAGATTTGCTCTCTATTATTGTCTTTCCATAAGCAAAAACAAACCTTCTTGACTTGGGCATCATATATATATATATATATATATATATATATATATATATATATATATATATATATATATATATATCTGTCAGTCTTATTGATAGTAAAACAATCATCTGAACTGCAATGCATGCTGTAGCAAGGTATGTAGATAAGATGGTTATGTAGCAACAAACTGTACAGGCCACAAGCATGGGACCTAAACATTGAGGCATGAGGGTGACAAGTCTAGGGAAGAGATTGAGTATGAGGGTGACAAGTCTAAGGAAGAGACCTAGTCAATATAATACACATTGTCTAATAATCTGAAACATCAAGAGGCAAAATGCTGAATGCCCCTAGCAAAATATTAGGGTCTTGTTGCCACAAGCCCCCCCCCCCCCCACAGTTGCCATGCTATTGAAACAAACTGCAATGTTCCTAAACTGACCATTATTGCCCCTGGCCAACATCGCAAATACCCAGTACAGTCATTGCTACCTTGCTTTGCATTTAAAGCCAACATGGGATAAAGATATTTGTAGAGTGCACACAATTATAATGAACCATCATAACATGCAGTTTAAGGTTTTAACAGGCACATTTCACCTTCCAAACATAACAATTCAAAGGAGGGCTTTACAGGCATGAACAGCTGCACAATTTAGGACATGTATGTCAAAGAACTCCAGACAGCATACACTTTGGTCCTAAGGCAAAGCATTCCTAAGGAAGATTAACTTGAAACTTCATACCCTCTTCAATGCATTTGAAGCCATCCTTTGGTGTGGCCACCAAACCTGTTATCCCTGAAATGCAATGAGGAAATGTTATCAATATTGTGCTCGACAGTACATTGGTGGAGGCACTCATCATTGCTCTGGCAACACTGCACTTAATACAAACTTATCACACTTAAACAAGGTGAACAGAACCAATGCCAGAAAATTAAGGACTGCATGAGCAAAAACTTAACTCAATCAAGTGGTGTGGGATGTGATGTGATCCATGCCAGTACCAGCCCACATTAGTGCAGGCACCAGTGCATGGTATATGTGGTTTGTATTGTCATCAGCCCTTCTTCATCAGACATGCCCAGCATTTATCAGCAAAGGAAAAGGAATGACATGCATAATGATGCATTCTTGAATATCAGTTACTGAGTGAAATCAGTGAAGATAATTATGACGTGAAATGAGCAGCCTGTAAACTATACATAAAATAGACCCATGCATCCAATGAGAAATGTATTAGTCTGTCTTTAACGACACAACCCTTAACACCACATTTGTTGTAGAACCAACAAATGTTAAGTTTTGCAGCACGCCAAAAATCCCTTGTGCAAGCAGCGAACCTTAAGAAATAAAGAGCACAAAATTTTCAGGTGCTCTTCAAGCAATCACCCTCCTCTTTTAGAAGAAGAAAAAGGCACCTAACAAACCAGTCACCAAAAATGAGTTAAAATGACCAAAATAGACGTTTCAGCCAAATTGGATGAATCGCAGCCAAAATGAGTATTTTACTGCCGATTAGGCTATTGACATCAAAATGGGCGTTTCCACCACCGGTTTAACAAATTCGTTAACCGTAATGCCTACTTAAGTCACCAAATACACAAACGAAATGTCCCGAAAGAATATTTCCACCAGATTGGTTGAATCTCCACCAAATAGTTGAAACAAATCACCAAGATATAGCAGGATAGGCCCACCAGCAAAAACAACCATATTTTACGCGAAATTGGCTTGAACTAGGTAATGTTTTGGGGCCCAAACGCCATTATCCGTATTTCAATTGCGTTTTGAAAGTGATTCGCTGAATAGCACTGTGTTACGTGCATACCTACACATCTATGGGCGCAGCCAGCTGGTGAGCGGGGTGGGGGGGGGGGGGGGGGGGGGGGGGGCACAGGGGACATATTCTGCTAAGCCCTAAGTGGCCTTATGGAACGTCGGCATAGACTATCAAGAACCCAACTGGAGGGCCTAAAGGACTGGCCGGGAGACGACCTCGGGGCGAAGGCCTGACTCTCAGAGCTCAGCTGAAGGGATTCGTTTCGCCTGTCCGGGCGTCCCCGGTACGACGAAGGCGTCTATGTAGGTCCTAGACCGGCAATGCTTAGCAGTTGGCTCCCAGTTGACTTGGGCTCGGGGAGACACATTCACGAAGCACGGACAAGGCCGGTATCCGCGATTGTTACCAAAGACCTCCTGCGTTGGCCGGGCCCCTGCAACAAGGTGGCTCCCTGTATCAAGGCGCAGAGTGCGGGAGTGTGGGAGTGTGAGTGTGGGAGCCTGTGTCGGCAAGGGGTTCCTGTCGACCAGAGGCGCATTTGGCTGCAGAGGAACAGGACTGGACCCTGAATGTCAAAGAGCCACTTGTGTTGGTCGAGGTCCTTTTGCCTGACATGGGATAGGAATAGGAGAAACGATAATCAAATGGTCCACAATGAGGCAATCGAAGGGTTTGACCAGTCGCAGGGTCTGGTACCGAACAGGTAACCTTCAGAGACTCTGGTCCCGGGTCCTAAGATGGACCCAAGGCCCCGTTTGCGCCGGAGGCCCGAAACCGCTCACTGCGTTCCACACTACGATCCATATACGTGCTTGGGTGGCATGTTTTGTTGCTGTCATAATTGTTTAAAACGTTTTCGGTTCGGTTATATTGTAATCAGAGCTCACACAAGGCAGGATTGTTGCGTGGTCTAGAACTCCACCTTCCTATTGTGAAGTTCCACTTGTACGGTAGCAGGGGCGCAGCCATAACTATGGTAACGGGGGGGGGGGGGGGGGGCACAAAGCTGGCAAACAGCCCCTGATGTTGGAACGAAAACCCCCTCCCCTAAAAAAAATCACTGGTTTTGGCCCACTTGATTTGGAAGGGACAAGATTTTGGGCGTAGAGATATTGAGCATTCCGGGAACGTCGACTGAATGCAGATCGAAACGGGATCATATATTTATATTAACATGGACAATCCATGTTCGTCTGGAAATGTTCAGCCGTCTGCCAGAAGCGATCAATGATAAAGAACTATGTACCAAAGTTTTGAACCCGCACGCACCTACGTCTTAGAGCCGAAAACCCGACTCCCGGCGTTGCAGTCTCCGTAGACGGCGCGGCACCGGTCCGCAGGTATTATCAAGCGGTGGCTAACGGCGGTCGGAAAAAAGGAGCATATAAAACAAGTATCTTTGAGTGGCTTATGACATCAATCCGTGTATTTAGAAGGCAGTCCTGTCGGGCATCTCACCTGCGTGATTTTTACATCGATTTGGATTGGTAACCGGGCCTAATTAGCATTTACAATGCCGCAAACTGTTGCTGAAATCTGGTGATGAAGCTGGAAGAGTAAAACCGGAATATTCATTTTCGTGTTGCTATTATTGTTGATCCATTTAAAGGATAGGCTTACAATTGTAAGGGTGAAAGGTACGCCAAGGTCCAAGCTTTGAACAGCACGCATTGATTTTAAAAGACTTTCGGAAGCGTAATTTCACGACGGTCGCTCTCGCGCGTCCGGCACCCGCCTCCAGGTGATATCCGCGACAGCCGACGCTGTTCGCCTTTACGGAAACTGCAAATCTACCTATAGCTGTTCTTGCCGTTAAGATTACGGTCGCGGAGGATGAAAATTTTGTGTGTAATGGGTGTCACAAGTCGATTCTGCAAAAGCAGGACCGTTTCGGGCAAACATGGAGTGGCTTTTTCTTTATTTCCGTACCTCATCTTGCTCCACTCTTTTCAACACATAGCGAGACCCCTTACGTTTTCGGGGTATTGAGCCCCGTGTGTAAAACACAATAGGCCTACTATTCCCAGCCAACGGCTGAAGCGTCATCTTATCCTAGCGCGGGGTGCCTATCGGCTGCCATGCTAGCGACACGGGGTAGGAGTCCCCTGGTCGATGCGGAGGCCCTTAGGTGGATGCATCACACGTTGGTTCTCTCCCTGACGCGTGAGACCCCTGACCCGGCCGTTGGCCCCAGGTCGATGCAGGGGCCCTCCCGAACGCAACAAGATCCCCCGTCGCCGCATGTGATCCAATAATTTGCGCGGAGACATGCACATACTGTAGCATAAGGGGCCTTCACCTGAAATGGGATCGAGTGCCCCTCGTTCCGTACCGGAGACTTTGCCTAACACATCGCCATTCTATTGTTCCCTTGTGGACCCATTGCAAGCTTCTACATCTCCTTTCCTTGTCAGGGGGCCCCGGCCAATGCAAGGGGTCCTCTGGCATTCTAAACCCAGTCCCTGTTCGTGTTCAGCAAATGCTCCCCTGGCCGACGCGGGACCCCTTTCCGAGTTGGTTCCATTCGCCAGAAAGGCCCTGTGGGCTATAGCCGGTGTCCCATATCTCAACCTGCCGGGGTATTCTCGGTTGCTCAGGGGCCCTTTACGTGGGTCTCAGTTAACCTACCGACACACTTGCGATATGCTCATGGGCCCTCTTCATTGGTCTAGGGTGCTTCCAATTCCTTGTCACTTGCTTAGGTCCCCACGCTCTTGTCGGGGCCCATCTGATGGCCTGCTTGGGCACACCAGTCGTTCGGGGACACTTCATACTGGGTCCTGGCTGCTTCTTTTCTTAATGGGGGACCCTATGCTTTTGGGGGAGGGCCTATCTGATAACCTGCCCGGGCACATTCAATCGTTCGAGGCTCTTTACATTAGGCCTTGGGCACGTGCTATTTGAATAAGCCCCTACGCACTTGCCGGGAGCCCCCCCCCCTCTGTCCGCCTTCTCGACCACACTGGATTGCTCGCGGGGCCCTGCACATTGTTTCTTGGTGTTTGAATTTAGGGCCCTCTGCTCCTATCGGGGTCATCTGAGAATCTGTTCGGGTACACTCCATTTTTCGGGGGCCCTCCGCACCGGGTTTTGGGTACTTCTTACTTGAATTTACGCCTTACTCTTCTGTCGGGCCCCCTTCCGATAAAATGTTCGGGCCCATTCGACCGTGGGGGACCCGATACGGAAGGAAGGCCCCGAAACGAGGATACGAAAGGCCTTTCGCTCTTGCCGGGGCTCCATCTGTTAACCTGCTCAGGCACACTCGAATACCCGAGGGGCCCTCCACATGGTGTCTTAGGCACTTCCTATCTGAATAGAGGGATGCACGTACTTATCGGGGACCCCATGTGTTCGCCGCTTCGGCCACACTGCATTGTCCGGGGGCCCTGCACATTGGGTCTTGGTGTTTGAATTTAGGTGCTGTCTGGGCCACCTGATAATCTGCTCGGGTATACTCCATCTTTCGGGGCCCTCCGCACTGGTTTTGGGTACTCCTTATTTGAATGGAGGGCTCAAGTTCATCTTGGGCAATTTTGATAAGCTGCTCGGGCACATTCTATCATCCTGGGGTCATTCACATAAGGTCTTCGGTACTTCCCATTCGAGTGGAGGGCCCTATGCTCTTGTTGAGAGCCATATTTGCTAACCTGCTCGGGCACACTCGATTATTCGGGGGCGCTTTTCATTGGGTTTTGGGTGCTTCATATTTGAATGGATGGCCACACACTATTGACGGGGGCCCTATATGTTAACCTGCTCTGACGCACTGGATCATTCAGGGGTCCTCTGCATTGGGTCTTGAATACTTCCTATTTGAACGGAGAGCCCCACGCTCTTTCTGGGAACCTTATCTGTTAGTCTGCTCGGGCACAATCGATCATTCGGGGCCCTCTACAGTAGGTCTTGGGTGCTTCCTATTTGAATGTAGGGCCCTACGCTATTGATGGGGGCCCCTATATGTTAACCTACTCGGGCGCACTCGATCGTTCAGAGCCCTATACATTGTGTTGTAATTATTTATTCTTTGAATGGATGGTCCTATGTTCTTGGCGGGTCCCATCTATTAAGATGCACGGGCCGGTGGCGGATGCAGGGGAGGGGGGGGGGAGGCACGGGACCATGCCTCATGGATCATGCTGAGGGGACCTAAAGGCTCCGAAGGGGCCCATAACCGGCCGGACGGACGCAGTTTTCTCACGACAAAAATACGACAAAATTTGAATCCTTTGGGTCTACAGACGACTAAGAACAGTTGTTTTGCAAAAGTAAAGAGTTCATAAGCAGACCAAGTTCATTTTTTACTGATTGAGAAAGTATTGCTTGGGAGAAATTTTGGAGCTCATTACGCTGCCTAGAGTCATTGCGCTGTTGGTTTCCTGGCCCTATATGTCCACCTGCCGGGTCAATCTGATCGCTAAGGAGCTTTTCAAGGAGCTCTTTGTAGTTTCTCGTAGGGCCCAATGTGCCGTTGGGACGCTATCTGCCTCCATGCCTGAGCACTGCTTATCGATCAGGTTTTCCTCCGCGTGTTCTCCCCATTCGTCCGAAAGGCTCTTTACGCTTTCCCCAGGCCCCGTATGCCAGGGCACACTCAGCTGCTCAGGGCCCTCCATTAAGGTCTCAGGCTCTTCCTCCTTGCTTGGAGGGCCTTGTGCTGTTGCTAGGGCTTTTATAAGGTAAGGCACTGAAATGCGCGATGTTCAGGGGCCATCT